TCTGATTGGAGTATCGATATGTGAGGTAGTCCAATCATATTCGCACAGGAAAGTGGGCTTGATGTGGCAACGGCGGAAACAAGAGGTTGATAAAAAGGCTAGTGGATGCTCTTGAAGATGTCAAATGAGGGGCATAGAGTGATCTTTCATGTTAAAACAAAAGTTGGCACTGCAAAAACACCACAAACATTTACAGAGACAATCAGGGCTGTCGGGTAGCCTAATGGTTAAAGCGTTCGCTCGTCACGCCGAAGACCCGGGTTCGATTCTCGACATGGGTACAATGTGTGAAGCCCATTTCTGGTGTCCTCCGCCATGATATTGCTGGAATAATGCTAAAAGCGGCGTAAAACCATACTCACTACAGAGAGAATCAAGAAGTCACTTAGCTTCAGGCTGGGATGGAGAGAATGGGACAATTTCACCAATACAACCTCATGCTGTCAGGTTAGATGCCCTTTGATCACATTGGCCTGGTTACAGGCTATGTCTTGATGTGATCCATACATATGCCAGGATGAATGTAAATACCATTAAACCAATAATAAATATTTCCAATTATGAAAAAACATTTGGCACAGACTCAGCTACATGTACAAAAAAGTCGACAAATAGTTGTCAGGTAAATAGTTTGTAAAATATCATGAAACACAGTGCCTAACTGTACAAGAAAGAAAAACGTTCCTTGGTGCAACAATCTTAGCACTAAGGTGATCGTAACTCCAATACCCTAACCGACACTTACAACAGTCATGGTCCTTAGGTTGTTTTCAATCTCATTAAAATCAGATCTTAGTTCTCGCTGCCGCTAAACAAAGATATGAGGACATGCCATTAGGGGTTACGTCAGAACGACCTTTCATTCGACCAATCAGAGCGTCCCTTAGCAGATAATGAAAGTGACAGTCGGAATGTGATTTCTAATCATGCAACCTCGAAAACTTTAACACGGGGTATTCCAAACGATAGTTACGGGTAAACTACTGAATCCATACAATCTTGACCATATATTTGCCATTCCAGAATGTTCTTTTGTTCAGGTTTCAAATTTTTAATCGAGAATTTGTCAAAATATGTTTCGAAGCGTAGTCGCCAATTTGAAATTAGTGCCTTAAAGCATGAGAAAGCTGTCTTCTGATTGGCTATTGTCGACATCTTGTCAGTCCTTCAATTGGTCGGTCAAAATTTGTGCTAGGTCGGTCTGACGTGACCCGTCATGGGATGTCCTCAGATCTTTGTTTAGCTATAGCAAGAACTAAGATCTGATTTTAATGAGATTGAGGCTGTTTTTTATACCAGGGCATCCTGGGTTGCCAGAGACAGTGTCTGTCAACATGGATGAATTACAAGACCAATGGATACCGCTACTTCATAGGCCTATGAATGTGTCATAAAAGGGACAGAAAAACAAAATATCACCACGGATTTGTTGAACGTAACAACAAAAAAACATTTTATACCATGACAGATTATTGTTGGATGATGCCGCACTAAGCAATATTCCAGCTATATCACGTCGGTCTGTAAATAATCAAGTCTGGACCTGACAATCTAGTGATTGACATCATGAGCATCGATCCACGCAATTGGGAATCGATGACATGCATCAGTATAATGAAGTGACCTTATTTATTTCCACTGAGAACTGGACATTTGAGTTTATTTTCTAGGTACCGAATTTAGATACCTTGGTCTGAATGTTTTGCTGATTCGTACTGAGAATTTGGAACCTCACTGCTGATTGGCTGATTAGTAAGTTCACCCGTTGTGACTCCTCTGGAGGGCTTGTCCAATCTTCACACAGAGAGGTATGGTATCGTAGTAAAAGATACCTTCTAAATGACACTGAGACTTTGTTAACACAGTCAGCTAACTCTTTCTGTGACAACTGTAAGTCTAAGTTAGGTATGCAGGTATACAGTTGTCGCCTGTCTCATGCCAGCCATCTTCCCGACGCAAAGGAGTTAACTGACCATAAAGGTCCAGTTTCCACACTTGCCAAACTAGGCTGGAATTATGGAATTATCGTAGAACAAAATCGACATTAGGTTCGTAAAGTGACGTGCAGATTTCAGTCGATTCCAGGATTTGCAAAGCATCTCTACTGACAACCCTTGAAGTGCCCCCCAAAGGCTGTTCTTTTACACAACTTAGAGATATTTTCCAAATCTTTTCATGTTTTTAATCAAGGTGCCCACATGATTTGATGCACTTCACGAAGTACGACCCGTTTTATTACAGTATAGATCGTATTATTGATCAGATCGTCTTCACTAGGCGACGCCATTTTATTTGAAGAAAATGCAAGGAATTTGATTGGTCAATAGGAGGGACATATGGAAGGGATATAATTCGTAATAGCCACTGGTGGCAGTATGATTGAGCACAGAAATTCCAGCCTAGTTCAGCAAGGGAAGAAACTGGACACTTACAGTCAGTTAACTCCCTTGCCTCGGAGAGATGTATGTCAGTTGTTTTCTGTTCATCATTGTCAAAGTTAGCCACCATGCCCTCAATCCAAACACTGCTACAAATTCCCAACTAAGGCTTCCACTTTCATGATATTTGTAACATCACACGGTTTTCCACTGGATTTCTGGACTACCGTATTCGACATAATAAGCGCCCCGCTCTAATAAGCACCCACTATATTGGCTAGTGAACAATCTCAATTAGCACCCCTTTCCGATTGATCAATGTACACAAGACATATTTATTCGTGTAAAATACGCATTCGTGTGTTATATGCACCCTTAATTATGGGTAATTAAATTCTGGAATAATATATCTCTCGTATATAAACATTTCAGGCTGTCAGCATAAACCACGAAATTTATCTTTCAACTCTGTTTTTTTTCACCAAAATAATATCCTAATAAGAACCCCCTATTTCTAATTTTGAGAGCGCCCTGGGCGCTTATTACGTCAAATACGGTATTCTCACTATTATAGTTTGATGATGCAAATTCGGTCATGACCTGGTACAGTGTGGTACACACAAGAAAAACATCAGATGTGCCAGAAATGAACCTTTGATATAATCTCATGAGGTGAGTTGGTAATTATTCTATGAATATCTATTTTACAACTTTTCCACTAAATAAACTCTGTCTTAAAAATTTTCTTTGACTAGTAAAATTTATACCAATTCAAAACATCATCAAATAAGAGAGCAGCTTGTCTTTGATAAATAGAAATAGAAAACATAGATAAAGAAATGCTTGTATAAAAGTCTGTACACACAAAAATAAAGCAGTCAGACTTTACTCCAGGCTTTGAGGTACAACCTCTATGTACACAAGATAGGAACATGGAACTCCGTGTGAAGAAATCCTGCAACAAACTTGGACAAAAACATAGGATTTCAGTCAAATAATCCTCTTGGTACACACCAGTTTTACAAGTAGACACTGTTAATCCTTGTAGCAAGGTCATTGAAATCAGATCTTTTACTCCGATATGACACCTCTCTGCGTGACGATGGGATGACACATCTATAGGACGTTCTTGTGACCTTGAGTGACCTTGAGTGACCTTTAGCACCCAATCTAAATGGAGGATGCAAGAGTTCTAAGCCCTTCAGATGTCAGTATTAATTCTTTATAACCTCAATTTCAAAATTTGGATTTGTACGAATTAAACCCCACACAGAAGGCAATTATTCCTTTGATGGTACAGTAAACTACGGTTACAACGAACTCAAAGGTACCACTTATTTTAATTTTGTTATAACCAGATGTCAGTATTAATTCTTTATCACCTCGATTTCAAAATTTTGATACGTACGAATTAAACCCCACACAGAAGGCAATTATTCCTTTGATGGTACAGTAAACTATGGTTACAACGAACTCAAAGGGACCACTTATTTTAATTTCGTTATAACCAGATGTTAGTATTAATTCTTTATCACCTCAATTTCAAAATTTTGATTCGTACGAATTAAACCCCACACGGAAGGCAAATATTCCTTTGATGGTTCAGTAAACTACGGTTACAACGAACTCAAAGGGACCACTTATTTTATGTTCGTTACAACCAGATGTCAGTATCAATTCTTCATAACCTCGATTTCAAAATTTTGATTTGTACAAATTAAACCCCACACAGAAGGCAAATATTCTTTTGATGGTACAATAAACGACAGTTACATCGAACTCAAAGGGACCACTAATTTTAATTTTCGTTATAACCAGATGTTAGTATTAATTCTTTATAACCTCAATTTCAAAATTTGGATTCGTACGAATTAAACCCCACACGGAAGGCAAATATTCCTTTGATGGTTCAGTAAACTACGGTTACAACGAACTCAAAGGGACCACTTATTTTATGTTCGTTACAACCAGATGTCAGTATCAATTCTTCATAACCTCGATTTCAAAATTTTGATTTGTACAAATTAAACCCCACACAGAAGGCAAATATTCTTTTGATGGTACAATAAACGACAGTTACATCGAACTCAAAGGGACCACTAATTTTAATTTTCGTTATAACCAGATGTTAGTATTAATTCTTTATAACCTCAATTTCAAAATTTGGATTCGTACGAATTAAACCCCACACGGAAGGCAAATATTCCTTTGATGGTTCAGTAAACTACGGTTACAACGAACTCAAAGGGACCACTTATTTTATGTTCGTTACAACCAGATGTCAGTATCAATTCTTTATAACCTCGATTTCAAAATTTTGATTTGTACAAATTAAACCCCACACAGAAGGCAAATATTCTTTTGATGGTACAATAAACGACGGTTACAACGAACTCAAAGGGACCACTAATTTTAATTTTCGTTATAACCATAGCTGGTTATAAGCCTATGTACAACATATATACAGCAAATGGGTGGGACCAAGAAATAGTTCGTTATATCCGTCAGTTCGTTATAAGCGTGTTCGTTATGAACATAGTTTACTGTACTTCCATTTGGCTGTGATGCCATAGAACTGAGAAAAATCAGGGTGTAACGCCAAAAACATAAACACCAATGTTTTAATACTGCTGCCCTATTTATCTAAATTCGGTACTTGTCGGTTTAATTCATTTTCGATATATAGAAATCAGATATTTCTAAATACTTCACTCAGTCATACCAAGAAGTTGAAAGCATGAGAAGGTATAGTATTGCAGTAACACATCTGATTTTAAAGAGACTGATCTTTGAAGAAGACATAACAGTGGTAAACAAATGACATTCGTCATTTTGACAGTCATTTTTCTAAATACTTATATTTTCCCTGTATCTCAAGTCCACTGTGAAATCACAGAATTCAATTGCACAACAAAGGACACCACAAGTTGTGATTGGTTTGACTTTGTGGGTGTCTAGATGATGATTTGTCCGACAGCGCCGACACCAAGTGGAATCTCCACCTGTCTAAGACTTTGACCTCCGTGCCTTGATGAGGAGCACGAGGAACGAGAGGAAGCGGAATCCAACCAGCAGTGCACACATCAGCCCCAGATCTAGGACCACGTTGTCCTACAACATATTAAACATTGTTATCACATGCTGCATTTCGTTGTCTCTTTGTTTGTGTGTTTGTTGTTTAATGCTATGGGAAAAAAAATACATAGTTGAAATAACGGAAAAAAGAATGCAATAATACCAATCTCATTAAAATCAGATCTTAGTTCTTGCTACCGCTAAACAAAGATCTGAGGACATCCCATTAGGGGTCATGTCAGCTGAGCTGAGCTGAGCTGAATTTGGGTTTAACGTCGCGTCCAAGATTATTGCACTTATATATGCACGTGTGTGTGTGTGTGTGTGTGTGGCTGCTTGTACTAGTCCAGACTGATGTCGATTTATAGTGCTAGCACACTGAGATACCATGCCGCAGTTTAACATGAATACCCCACTCAGACACAGTATACCAACTCCGAACCGACCAGTCCTTGTTTTAGCCCCTTAATGCTGAGCACCAGGCAGCAGGGTAACAACAAGCACCATCTTTTAAAGTCTTTTGGTGTGACGTAGCTGGGAATCAAATCACCGACCTTCCATTCTCCATACAGACACTCTATCCACTAGACCACACACGCGGTTCAACAAAATGTGAAAATATCAATAAAAAAATTCAAAAATAATTAATATCCTTGAGTGTATCACAGGGTAATTTGTCCTGGAAATACAAGTTTCCATAGAGAACAATCTCATTAAAATCAGACCTTAGTTCTCGCTACCGCTAAACTTTCTAAACTTTGTTTAGCGGTAGCGAGAACTAAGGTCTGATTTTAATGAGATTGCCATAGAGAATTAAACCTAGAACCTAAAGCTAGGCTACCTTAGAGAAGTTGAGGTAGTTCAAGACATCTTTGCCATCCTTGTAGCACCGCTGAGGCCCATCGGTGCCGTTGCCGGGGAAAGTACCGTTGTTACCGCCACACTCTTTTAGGAAACAAACAATCAGAGGTAAAAATAATAATTTAGAGATCAAACAAAAAATACAAAAACAAAGCAACTAGGTTCTGCAGCTTGCCTGAATTATGAAGCAATAGCTTTACCATGCTTCATCCTTAATATGTGAGAAACATCTAGTCAGTCACATTGTAATTGGTACAATGGGAAAAACAATGAAGTAACAATGTATAAACATCATTTACAATAATGAGATTGCATGCAAATCAACAAATAACTTGAACAAACTTGAATTTTGGGGATTTTCTGTTAATTCTTAGCTTCGTTTTTTGGTGTGTTTAACCCCTGCAGTCATACTTTTCTTGAGTATAGTGCGCACCCAAGTATAATGAGCAACCCCCCTCTAGTGGATTCAGTATTTTGGATTTTTCTTTTACAAATATTATATTCAGAAAAAAATAACACAGTACCCCTTCAGTGAATCCTGGTAAACAAACGGGTGATAAGAAACTTGGTCAGTACAAATTTGAAATTTTAGATAAAAAATCACCAGACATGTTTATTTACTGTTCAAATTGTATTTTTTGTTGTGCTAGGCATTATTTTACATCCAGGGATTAAGATTACCTTGTGTATTTTCTCGTAAAGTAAGCCGGAAACAGCAGTCAGCTGTACACACGTTTTCTTGGAATCTACCGGTGATTTGGTTAAAACTTACCCAATGATTTAACAATAAAGGATTTTGATGCAAGGATCGGGAAAAATTGTATCTGGAACTATTTTTTTATCAGGAATAATATATTCCAATATCTTGTTATTTCAGTGGCAGCTTTTACTAAATATATCTAAAATAATAATAACCCTAAGCTTAGCTGATCACTATTGCCAGTTATTATCTTTCACATGGAACAATTTGACCAGTCACCGTAGAGTCTCCCTCGCACGTGACTGCGAGAACTACATGTTGACATAGATTCGTCAAACTACAACAAATATGACTTTTAACAAGTCAAAGTATGGCATTTATGATTTATGTATCCATTCTCTGTCAACTTAAGTTCATTTCAAGGCGTCAATAGCGGTAATCTGACCGTGGTTGGTGTTATAACGGAGAGTTGTGCTATATTCCGATTATTTCACACATGATTTCACCAGAAATTAATTAAAACAATATCAAAAGGAATTTTGAATAAAATTAAGGAAATAAGCCCCAAACGTAAGTCCAGATATACAATTAACACTTTTTATAACCAGTCAGTGTAATTACATGATTAATTTGCGTACTTCAGTATGGATTTGTTGACATGGTATTTCTGGTGTTGCGTGCTCACGGTAGTGTCTTTGTATTGGAGGAAAAAAACATCCAAACTCAAACCAAACCCTTCTACATAGCTGTGTTTTTTGGGGAAAAAGTGTGCACTATACTCAAGAAAATACGGTAAGATGCATTGGATGCCTGTTGTCAGAATACGTGGTCAGATGTGTGGTCATTTGTTGAAACCAGTCCGTATCACTCTCGACATTTAATCCCAACAGCTTGAGCCTGACCAATACTCGGTCAGGTACACATAAGTCAGGTATATGTATACTGAACAACAAAAGTTCCTGTGACATTGAATAAGATTTAATGCAAAGTTATGTTTTTTACCAAATCTGAAACAATTTCGGTTTGCTACAGATAAAAGACTCCTGTAAGTGTTCAAATGGTTTAATTTGCCATACTGACTTCAGAAAAAGCGTGATTTCATAAAAAACATGAACATGCCAAAATGTCATTTTACAAATCAAAAGCGTGTGTGTCCACCTCTGGACAACACATCTTCATCTAATGGAATGGACCAGGCGTCGCACAAAGTCCTGTGGGATGTGGCAGCCATGTTAAAAAAATTGAGTGTAATTCTGTCTGCCGTGGATATCCTCCCAAGGTAAACAGTCGACATTGAGCCTCACCTAGATGGTCGACATTTTCCCACTGGTTGACAGACAGGACCTCATTTGCATATTGGAACCATGAGAGGTACTTGAGCCAGATGAAGTACACGGGGACTGAGCTGGAAACAGTAGTTTAGTATCATTATCCATCAAACACATATTGGTTGGTTGGTTGTCTAACACCACAGTATCACATCTAACAAACACATATTGGTTGGTTGGTTGTCTAACACCACAGTATCACATCTATCAAACACATATTGGTTGGTTGGTTGTCTAACACCACAGTATCACATCTAACAAACACATATTGGTTGGTTGGTTGTTTAACGCCACAGTATCACATCTATCAAACATATATTGGTTGGTTGGTTGTCTAACACCACAGTATCACATCTAACAAACACATATTGGTTGGTTGGTTGTTTAACACCACAGTATCACATCTATCAAACATATATTGGTTGGTTGGTTGTCTAACACCACAGTATCACTTCTAACAAACACATATTGGTTGGTTGGTTGTTTAACGCCACAGTATCACATCTATCAAACATATATTTGTTGGTTGGTTGTTTAACGCCACTGTATCACATCTATCAAACACATATTGGTTGGTTGGTTGTTTAACGCCGCACTCAGCAATATTCCAGCTATATGACCGCGGTCTGTAAATAATCGGGTCTGGACCAGACAATCCAGTGATTTAAGGGACCGGTCATTTATGACACGGGTGGGTGGGTTGGAGATTGTTGATGCACTAATTAAGGCAGGGACAGGTAACTCAGGTACTCAGGTCGAATGGGTACTGAGTAGGACCCATATACCTACAGGACTACCCGGACCGTGATATATTGCTTAATGACAAAAATTGTCTAGAACACCACGGTTACTCTACAAGTCACTAATGTCGCATTTGTGTCTGAATATGCAAACATTCCTTCTGACTTTTACATGTTTGAATAAAGATAAAACTTCTCAACTTCAGTGTATGCATGACCAGATCGTTTTATACGTGCACATCTAAATACATTTTTCCAAGGCTACGGTCAAACTGTTCCCAATCAGACATTTTGTACCTATCTCTTGAGACCTTCAGTGGGTACCCGGGTAGGGTCGGGCAATAAGGGTGTGGGTACCTGGGTGAGAAATTTGGACAAGTCCCACCTCAGCCATCTTCCCAAGGCAAGAGAGTTAACTGACTTTAAAAAAACAGTTTCCACCTTTGCTGAACTTGGCTGGAATTACTGGGCTCGATCGTAGTGCCACCAGTGGCTATTACCAGTTATGTCCCTTCTAAGCCTCTCCTAAGGACTAATCAGATTCCACCTCTCGTATCATTTGCGTTTGCTTCACACAAAATGGTTGCACCCAGGCAGGATCGATAATCAAGATCTACATTGGGATAAAATGCGTCTTACATCGCAAAATGCATCAAATCATGTGAGCACCTTGATTAAAAACATGAGAAGATTTGGAAAATATCTGCTGACAACAAGTTGGTGGTGCACATGCTTTGCAAATCCTGCAATCGACCGAAATCTGCACGACAGTTTACAAACCGGATTTCAATTTCGTTGCGCGGTTTTGATTGGACTATGCATAGACTCGTAAGTCCAGCCAAAACGTAACTCCATAATACCAGCTTTTTTTTTTATAGTCAGTTAACTCTCTTGCCTCGGAAAGATGACCTCAGCACAAATGTACTGAAAATTATAACCCCCCCCCAAATGCTTGTCATATATGCCATGTCCTTATACATTTTTGTCCTAATCCTCCCTGGAAGGAAACATGCAAAAGCACTTTATATTTTATTAGCAAATGTCCATATACTCATGACCCTCCTCAAATTTGTTTATTATTTTTTTAAGACTCTCCTCAAGCCATTGTCATATTTTACTCCCTTTGATCCACAAGTACAGGTTTGTTGGTGACTGGCAAACCAGGATTCGAACCCATGATCATAGATTTCTGGTACGCAACTCTGCACAGCTGATTGGGCCACCTGTAGGGCTGGGACGGGTAACTCGGGTACTCGTGTCGGGTGGGTCCTGAGTATGATCCGGGTACCCACAGGACTACCCGGACTCGTGGTTAGTCACATGATTGATTGTTTAATGCCGATAACAGTCCAACTCTATGGTTACACAAAAGTCGCTAAATGTTCGCATTCCTTTCTGACAATGATTCACGCATTCCTTCTGACTCATATATGTTTGAGTAAAGATAAAGCTTCTCAATCCGACATTTTGTACCCTACTTGCGACTTCCAGCGAGTATGGGTCGGGTAATAGGGATTGGGTACCAAGGTAGTAAATTTGGACTCGTCCGATCCCTAGTCACCCGTGTCCCCTTATCAAGTGTAATACCTTATTTCACATTGAAAGAATTAGCAGAAAAGGTCTTACTTTCAAATATGAGTTTGATATAAAAATGGTGAGTTCAAGAGCGCTCTCAGCTCTTACCCATTATTGAGGAAGAGTCCACCAAACAACATGAAGGGGATGAGTAACGGGGGTGCAATGGCGAGAGCGATGTTCACGGAGCCCGATACTGTGGAGATGAGGTAGCCTGAAAATAGCATATCAACTTTGTTAGAATAGAAGTCCATCAAACCATTTTTACCATAAAAACACTCTCATCAAAAATGTATTTTTTAGAGTAAAAATATCATTTATACTTATCCTGACTCATACTATTGCTTATCTCAACTTATGTTTTAAAGGCAGTGGAAACTTGCTGAGCTGTGTTCCCAGAGAACATTCCCGAATGCACCCCTAAGCCACACAGGTGCACTGGAACCACGTGACCTAGCCGGTTCTCGGTCTTACAAATCGTCTACATCGTTGCAAGAGTTGCGCCCCTTGGACAGGCCAGAAACCTATGATTGTGGGTTCAAATCCTGGTTCGCCCCGATTATGTTTCTAGGGTTTGTCAGCACCATACCCATGCTCGTGGGTTTCACCAAAGAGGTAAACGTCTAAGACCTGCATCACTTGAGGCTTTAAGCTGACACGCCGTGATATAACTGGAATACTGTTAAAAGCGGCATTAAACCCAACTCACTCACTCATTCGCTCACTCCGAGTCATTCTTTATCCTTCACATAAACACACATAACTTCACATAAAGCATATGACTGGCTCAAACACCAACACATCCGTCATTCTAGCTGAGCAGTAAGAGTTTGCTATGAGTTAATCTGACGTAATCTACTACGGCCGGTTTGTCAAATCTTTAATATGAGAAGCATCAAGTCTGAATAAAACCTTTTAATGTAGCAACTTACCAAAAGATACTGCCACATTGGCTACAAGTATAACAACTCCAGAAGTTATCAAGAAGGTGACAGCATCATTGTACAGCCCTGCAACAAATCAATCAGAGCACATGTTACATATGTATGCCTTAAAAACAGACTAATCAGAGCACATGTTACATAGGTATGCCCTCAAACAGACCAATCAGAGCACATGTTACATAGGCTTGCCCTCAAACTGAACAATCAGAGCACATGCTACATAGGTATGCCCTCAAACAGACCAATCAGAGCACATCTTACATAGGTTTGCCCTCAAACTGACCAATCAGAGCACATGCTACATAGGTATGCCCTCAAACAGACCAATCAGAGCACATGTTACATAGGTTTGCCCTCAAACTGACCAATCAGAGCACATGCTACATAGGTATGCCCTCAAACACACCAATCAGAGCACATGTTACATAACAGTTGACATTGTAGAGATTACAAGAAAAGAGAGAAGGATTTTCCATAAATTTTAGTATAAATAATAATTGTAAACATAAATGTCTAAATCAAAAGGATACAAAATCTTCTGATTGCTTCTAGTCCTTATTAGATGAAGCAAAAGGATTCAATGATAAAAGATCTGACAGCACTTTTATATCGTCGGATCATAGGTGTTTTCAAACGGCCATGTTCATTGCAATTACTCGGGCTATAATGGGGGTGGGGGGGTGGTGTAGCATCACACAGACATTGTAAATACTCAGATGATGGTTTGTGTTGAAGAGAAAGATGTCTTTTATAAGTGAATGAGGTGTTTTACAGTTGTTCATGTGATAAGAGAGAAAACAACGAATGTTTCTTAAGCATCCGAAAACCAATAACACAGGGATAATAGATGGATACTTGACCTAAAACACATGTTCAGTAACAACAAATAATTGAGTTAATTAATTACAAACAGGCAGATATTTTTTATAATGCCTCTTAGAATTTTATGCAAAATGGCACAAATTAAGCACCACAAAACTTTGTATCATGAGTCAAGTATTGCATATGTATCGATACGTTAAGTAGGGGTATGGTGACACCTCTAGTATTTACCTATCATCCAATAGAGGACTAGCACCATCAGCCAGGGCAGGAACACAAAGGTTGGCAGCTGCAAAAACAATCAGAACCATGCAGCATGAAATACACATATCCCTGCCAATACTGCCATTTTCAGTCTAAGTCAAAATCGTTACCACGGAAACTCGAAAACAATTTTTTTTTATAAATCACAAACTATCAATCAAGGCACCAGTTCACAACAGAACCATCTATGTGAGACAAGTTTGGTTAAGAAATAGCTGTTGAAAATAATTTTATCTTACCTCCATGTAAGAATGTTGAGATCTGATTTGTTTACGTGATCTTGATAAAGAACTATGAATACTATAAATAAATTTCTGAGACGGAGAGTAAAATCCCTAATACCCCGCCATGAAGGAAACAGGCAGTGTGTGGATTTCTTAGCAGGATAATAAATCCCATATACCCCGCATCGAAGCAAAAGGCTGCAAATTGCTCACAAGTCTATGAAAGTCATGTATAAAACCCAACGAGGGATGCATAAAACTAATTATCATACCGCTATGTCATAATAAGATCCGGGGTAGAATAGGTCTCAGCAACACATGCTTGCTGTAAAAGGCGACTTTGCTTGTTGTAATAGGCGACTAACAGGATCGGATGGTCAGACTCGCTGACTTGGTTGATGCATGTCATCGATCCCATATTGCGTGGATCGATGCTAATGATATTAATCACCGGATTGTCTGGTCCAGACTTGATTATTTACAGCCTGCTGTCAATAGTTGGAATATTGCTGGATACGGCGTGAAACAACCAACCAACCAAAACCAACCATGTCAGAATGATGTGATCTGATTGGTCCACATGATCTTGATAAAATACTGTGTATCCCGCCTTTGAGGGGAATAATTTTCTCAGCTGGGGAATAAATATCTTATACCCCGCCACGAACAAGACAGGCTTCACATGGATTTCTGAGAAGCAGATAAAAATCCCTTATAACCCCGCTTCAATGTTAAAAGCCGCACGCTTTTTCTGAGAGAATGGAAGTCACGTGACATAGCATAAGCTTACCTCATCTCAATCAAACAGTTATTTTCTATCAATTTAGAATTTGTTTTTATTCCTTTACAATGGCAGATTGAAACATGTCGGTGTGATCAATTTGTTGTAGCTGGAGCACGAGGGGTACATGGGGTTTACAGCGTCCATGATCAGTATTAAAAACTGATAGGAAATATCCTTGGGGCTCAGGTTAACTTGTGTCACGTGACTTTCATTGACTCGTAAGCAACGTACAGCTTTTTTGCTTCTTAGCGAGGAATAAGGGATTAATTTCCGACTAACATTGGACGCATAAAACTTCATACACCCATGTGATACTGTTGCAACTTATATTATGTCATAATTATTAAATTCTTCATTGTTCATGCTCACCTCTGCAAATGTTTTTGCCAAGTAGTAGACATCAACTCGATATAAGCCGCTCCCATACTCCCTCATAAAGATGGCGATCTCATTAGGAAAAGACTGGAATCAAAATAGATGTCCATCAACAGATGACACAAGAAATATCTCCAACACTCTGACCACTGCCATGATATACTGACACTGCCATGATATACTCACACTGTCATGATATACTCACACTGACCTGATATACTCACACTGTCATGATATACTAACACTGCCATGATATACTCACACTGACCTGATATACTCACAATGACATGACATACTCACACCGACCACTGCCATGATATACTCACACTGACCTGATATACTCACACTGACCACTGCCATGATATACTCACAATGACATGATATACTCACAATGTCATGATATACTCACACTGACCACTGCCATGACATACTCACAATGACATGATATACTCACAATGTCATGATATACTCACACTGACCACTGCCATGATATACTCACACTGACATGATATACTCACACTGACCACTGCCATGATATACTCACAATGACATGATATACTCACAATGTCATGATATACTCACACTGACCACTGCCATGATATACTCACAATGACATGATATACTCACACTGACCTGATATACTCACACTGACCACTGCCATGATATACTCACAATGACATGATATACTCACAATGTCATGATATACTCACACTGACCACTGCCATGACATACTCACACCGACCACTGCCATGATATACTCACACTGTCATGATATACTCACACTGCCATGATATACTCACAATGTCATGATATACTCACACTGACCACTGCCATGATATACTCCCACTGCCATGATATACTCACACTGACCACTGCCATGATATACTCACACTGCCATGATATACTCACACTGCCATGATATACTCCCACTGCCATGATATACTCCCACTGCCATGATATACTCACACTGCCATGATATACTCACACTGCCATGATATACTCCCACTGCCATGATATACTCACAATGACATGATATACTCACAATGTCATGATATACTCACACTGACCACTGCCATGATATACTCACAATGACATGATATACTCACACTGTCATGATATACTCACACTGCCATGATATACTCACAATGTCATGATATACTCACACTGACCACTGCCATGATATACTCCCACTGCCATGATATACTCACACTGCCATGATATACTCACACTGCCATGATATACTCACACTGACCACTGCCATGATATACTCCCACTGCCATGATATACTCCCACTGCCATGATATACTCAAAATGTCATGATATACTCACACTGACCACTGCCATGATATACTCACAATGTCATGATATACTCACACTGACCACTGCCATGATATACTCACAATGACATGATATACTCACACTGACCACTGCCATGATATACTCACACTGCCATGATATACTCCCACTGCCATGATATACTCACACTGACCACTGCCATGATATACTCACACTGCCATGATATACTCCCACTGCCATGATATACTCACACTGCCATGATATACTCACACTGCCATGATATACTCACACTGACCACTGCCATGATATACTCACACTGACCACTGCCATGATATACTCACACTGACCACTGCCATGATATACTCACACTGCCATGATATACTCACACTGACGACTGCCATGATATACTCACACTGCCATGATATACTCACACTGACCACTGCCATGATATACTCACACTGCCATGATATACTCACACTGCCATGATATACTCACACTGCCATGATATACTCACACTGCCATGATATACTCACACTGACCACTGCCATGATATAATCACACTGCCATGATATACTCACACTGCCATGATATACTCACACTGACGTGTGCCATGATATACTCACACTGCCATGATATACTCACACTGACCACTGCCATGATATACTCACACTGCCATGATATACTCACACTGACCACTGCCATGATATACTCACACTGACCACTGCCATGATATACTCACACTGCCATGATATACTCACACTGCCATGATATACTCACACTGACCACTGCCATGATATACTCCCACTGCCATGATATACTCACACTGCCATGATATACTCACAATGACATGATATACTCACACTGACCACTGCCATGATATACTCACACCGCCATGATATACTCACACTGACGACTGCCATGATATACTCACACTGCCATGATATACTCACACTGACCACTGCCATGATATACTCACACTGCCATGATATACTCACACTGCCATGATATACTCACACTGCCATGATATACTCACACTGCCATGATATACTCACACTGACCACTGCCATGATATACTCACACTGACCACTGCCATGATATACTCACACTGACCACTGCCATGATATACTCCCACTGCCATGATATACTCACACTGCCATGATATACTCACACTGCCATGATATACTCACACTGCCATGATATACTCCCACTGCCATGATATACTCACAATGACATGATATACTCACACTGACCACTGCCATGATATACTCACACTGCCATGATATACTCCCACTGCCATGATATACTCACACTGACCACTGCCATGATATACTCACAATGACATGATATACTCACAATGACATGATATACTCACAATGACATGATATACTCACACTGACCACTGCCATGATATACTCACACCGCCATGATATACTCACACTGACGACTGCCATGATATACTCACACTGCCATGATATACTCACACTGACCACTGCCATGATATACTCACACTGCCATGATATACTCACACTGCCATGATATACTCACACTGCCATGATATACTCACACTGACCACTGCCATGATATACTCACACTGACCACTGCCATGATATACTCACACTGACCACTGCCATGATATACTCCCACTGCCATGATATACTCACACTGCCATGATATACTCACACTGCCATGATATACTCACACTGCCATGATATACTCACATTGACGACAGAGAACATGCTGCTGAAAGAGGCGTTGGTGATGAGGAGGAAGAGAGCACCGTTGATGTTCATGACGCCCTCCTGGTCGTATACCTGATTGAGGTAGATCAGCCCCAGCACCACAGCAATCAGCTGGAAAAACAACCAACCAATAGATCAGTCGAGTAGATCAATGCTCATGACGTGAATTATTTACAACCGCCACCATGTTGCTGGAATATGGCTGAGTGTACAGTTAAGTCTCGTTAATCCGACGATCGGCTTTATCCGACACTAATGATGGGAACCGATTATCCAACAGTCAAATTGCAGCACCATCTGGCGTTCTGTATTGTCAACGCCTTTCGTGTTCACTGACGTTCTGTATTGTCAACGCCTTTCGTGCTCACTGACGTTCTTTATTGTAAACGTCCTTTCGTGTTCACTGACGTTCTTTTTTGTAAATGTCCTTTCGTGCTCACTGACGTTCATTATTGTAAACGTCCTTTCGTGCTCACTGACGTTCTTTATTGTAAATGTCCTTTCGTGCCCACTGACGTTCTTTATTGTAAACGTCCTTTCGTGCTCACTGACGTTCTTTATGAACACATTATTCTTTCTTTTCTTATGGCGTCTTTTCGTAACATTTGACTATTGATATTAATACTTTCGACCTTTGTTTCAACTTTGTATTTGTTTAACCAGCGTCTGTTTGTTTTGTATTTTGACCTTTATTAGTAACATTTAGTTCTTTATTCGTAATATTTGACCTTTATTGTGTACTTTTGCATAATCATATGCAACCAACCATGTCAGAATAACGGGACTTGACTGTAACTTTCTCCATTAATATAAACTAACATGCAAAATCTTGCCATTACAACAAACATAAGTTGCTATGGTTACTATTACTTACCAACGTCTGAAGGACCCTGATACGGAACAAGATGGCGTCCCGGAACACACTGACCCAACTTCTCCACAGAACCGTTCCGAACTGCCGTATCCACGAAATCTGATACCTGTCAGGAATATCCATCATTAGTATTATCATAATAATAAGAAATCTCCCAAAACTCCAACGATCGCCTCCATGATCTCGTGGATAGTGCGTCTGCCTGGAGAGCAGAAGGTCAGAAGTTTGATACTCGCACCATTCCAAAAGACGTTCAAAGATGGCTTTTTTTTTAATATATGTGACGTTTGTAGAAAAGGGACCTTATGGCTGCTAGGATACAACTGGGCTGTGATGTCATAAAGATGTTGGATGTCAACTTACTTCAGTGAAGATCAATGTGTGCAGACTGCACAAAATATCTCATTTTTCTTTCGTTAGTTCGTAATGTAAATAAAAACTGTATTTCAAAACCTTTCAGCATTCATGTCTACCTTCAATTCAACAATGATTAAATTTTCATTGTGTTCATTGAAATTCCTGCATTTTGATTAGCTGAATTGGTCACGTATTATTGCATTCATTTCCCAATGAATGTAAAAAATTAAGCCACCCCCACGCGCACTACTTTTATTACTGCAGAATGTCCAGAATTCCAATATTACAGTCGAGTGAATTCCCTTTCTGCTGATGTGTATCGTCGTGCACAGCACATTTAGAGACATTTAGGCATATTCATTGTCCAAACTACCCTTTGGGATCGAAAGCCGAGAAGGAATGAAACAGCAAATATGCAGGCTCGCTCAGCTGATTTATTCCCCACTCGCCTCGGTTCCACAACTTTGATGTGTTCAGGTTTCATTTCTAACTAGCATTTTTCCAACTGTGTTTTCCCATTTTCAGGGAACTTATGTTTGAATCTGGCGGTAACTGACCATGTCATTTGAAACAGCCGCCTTTTCCCGGACATATTTCTTTCGGTTCGTTACAGTCTGACTGTTGCAGTTCTTCTCGCCTCTTGCCTTGATTGACAGGTCCAATGAACATTGTTTTGATCCTACTCTCCATTGATTGGCTACTGATTTTGTAGGCGTGTCAAGTTATGTGCATAAATTAAACGATCACCTGATTCATATCATGCCACAATATGTATTCATACACCTGGAATGTTTATCAATCTCGTCCTTTTTTGTCTGTTTTGAGATATACAACTGTTTTTGGTTAAACTATTGTAGATAAAACATGTTTTACATTGTTGAATTTAATTATAAGCATTCATTGTGTATTATGTCTAAAAACTGCAATTATTGCACAAACAACTATAAGTCGGAAAATGAGTCCTAATGTTTGATGTCATGTATCTGAGTGAGTGAGTGAGTGAGTGAGTGAGTGAGTGAGTGAGTGAGTGAGTGAGTGAGTGAGTGAGTGAGTGAGTGAGTTGGGTTTAACGCCGCTTTTAACAGTATTCCAGTTATATCACGGCGTGTCAGCTTAATGTGGGAGGAAAGCCCGAAGCGATGCAGGTCTAAGAGGTTTACCACTTCGGTGAAACCCAAGAGCACGGGTATTGTGCAGCGAATCGCGGCGCCTTAGACGACTAGGCCACTCGTGCCCCCGATGTCATTTACCTCTGTAATAAATATGAATTGAAGCTTGTGAATGGTTTTTTTGTGTGCTGAAGATACTGTATTTCTAATATATCATGAAAAGTCAAAATGTGATTTTTCACCCATAAGGTCCCGTGTCTCCTGGTGGGTCCCATATTTCATTGTCAGAAAGTCTCCAGTGTACACAGAAATACACCGTTCATATCCCCAGCTATGTTATACCAAAAGAATGCCTGGCGCTCAGTATTAAGGGTGAGGTGAAATTAAATGGGGTTAAACGTCGCGTCCAAGATTATTGCACTTATATAGCGACGTGCATGTACGTGTGTGTGTTTGTGTTGCTGCTTGTACTAGTCCGGACTGATGCCGATTTATAGTGCTAGCTAACTGAGATACCATGCTGCAGTGAATACCCCACTCAGACACAGTATACTGACTCCGAGCCGACCAGTCCTTGTTTTAGCCCTTTAATGCCGAGTGCCAGACAGGGTAACAACAAGTACCATCTTTTAACGTCTTTAGGTATGACGCGTTCGGGGATCGAACACCGGACCTTCCGCTCTCCGGGCGGACGCTCTACCACTTGACCACGGAGGCGGTCCAGTATCAAGGGGATAACATCGGAAGGCTCGGCTTCAGTATACTTTGTCTGAGGGGAATATACATGTTAAACTGCATCACGGTATCTCAGTGGACCAGGACCATAAACCCACCAAAACTTGTACAAGCAGCTGCACACACACATGCATGCTAGGACTGGGATGAGTCCAAATTTACTACCCGGGTACCCAACACCCTATCACCCGACCCTACCCGGGTACCCGCTGTTGGTCTCAAGAACTAGGTACAAAATGTCTGATTAGTAATTGTTTTACCACAGCCCTGGCCAAAACATGCGTTCACTGAAGTTGACTGAAGCTTTATCTTTACTCAAACGTATACAAGTCAAAAGGAATGTGTGCATCGTCAGAAAGAAATGCGAGCATTAGCGACTTGTATTATTACCACTGAGCTATAATGAGTTTTTGTCATTAAACAATATATCACAATACTAACCACGGGTCCGGGGAATCCTGTGAGTACCCGGGTCCTACTCAGTACCCACCCGACCCGAGTACCCGAGTTACCCGTCCCAGCCCTAGTGCATGCACATTGCTATATAAGTATTCTTCAGAGTTTGGAAGTCTTGAACCTCCATCTCTTTGGGCTTTCCCAGTTCTTATCTGACACGCTGTGATATAACTGGGGTGTGAAGTTCACTCAATCACTTGTGTGGGAGTATAATCAACAATGACTCTGATAGAAATTTACCATTTTAGTGGACTCATGCAGAGAAATTAAGGCTACTTTTCAGGGGAAATCTAGGATTAGATTCCATGATCAGTGTATCCTGGCACATATAAGGGACGCAACTCTGCAAATCAAATCGTGGTTGTTAAGACCCCTTGGCAACCCATGCCCCAAAAGGTCCTAGGGAAAACAAAAGGATTGTGTTTTGAATGCTTTGATCATTGCATGTCATTTACCACAGCTACTAGAACTTCAAGCAATCCAAAAAAACTAAGATAACGCACCTGTCATTTCCATTGGAAAAAGCATCTTCGAACTGTAAGATAAAAATACATAAGTTAAATACATAATTGATAAAATTATTCAGTCTGCATCAATCTAAAAAAATCAGATCTTAACTCTCACTACTGCTGAACAAAGATCTTAGGCATCATATCACGGCTCATGTCACATGACCTTTTATCCAGCCAATCAGAGCGTCGCTTACCAGATTGGGAAAGTGACAGTTGGAATTAGGGCTGGGACGGGTAACTCAGGTACCCACAGGACCACCTGGACCCGTGGTTAGTTACTTGATCTATTGTCTGATGACTAAACTTACGCTTTCTTTTTGACAATGCACCATTCCTTCTGATTTTTCATATGGTTGAATAAAGATATAACTAAAGTCAACTTCAGTGTATGCATGATCAGATTGTTTGATACATGTATCTTAATACGTTTTGCCAGGGCTATGCTAAAAAAGATCCCAATCGGACATTTTGACACATCTCCTGAGACCTACAGTCGGTACCCGGGTAGACTAGGGTAATAGAGGGGCGGGTACCCGGGTAGTAAATTTGGACTCGTCCCAGCCCTAGTTGGAATGGCTTTCTAATCATGCAACCTTGAAAAGGTTAACACAGGGTATGCAAAACAACAGTTACAGGCCGTATGACTGATTCCGTCAAAATCATTGTTTTTCTCTCGCTTTAATTGCATAAACATTTGAGTGAGTGAGTGAGTGAGTGAGTGAGTGAGTTGGGTTTAACGTCGCTTTTAACAGTGTTCCAGTCATATCGCGGCGGGTCAGCTTAATGGGGGGGAAGCCCGAAGTGATGCAGGTCTCAGACGTTTACCACTTCGGTGAAACCCACGAGCACGGGTATGGTGCTGACAAACCTAGAAACATAATCGGGGCGAACCAGGATTCGAACCAACAATCATGGGTTTCTGGCGTGCCCAAGGGACGCAACTCTGCACAGCGAATCGCGGCGCCTTAGACGACTGGGCCACCTGTGCCCCCGCATAAACATTTGAAACAAAAGAGACTTTGCATGTATAGTAACTAATTAGCTAATGTCAACTGTTTTATAGTCATTTCATTGGTCATTTCAAGTTTGCAAAAGGTCGTTCTGATGCGACCTGTAATGGGATGTCCTCAGATCTTTGTTTAGCGGTAGTAGCTTGGTTGATAGCCTGTTATCGTACCCCACCAACGTTGATCATAACATCAATCACTAGATTGTCTGGTAAAGACTTGTTTGTTTACAGACCGCCGTTAGACAGCTGGAATAATTGCGGAGTGCGAACCTCATACAACAAAAAAACCAAAACAATTATTATGAGTGTGTTCAAAATAAAACTTACAACCAGAAAGGATATCTCTGTATATATATAGCAAGATCTTGTGAGAGCGATAGTCCATTCAAGATGGCGCGCCCAGTGAGTGATAGTGTTCGATGTCGACAGGGTAACATTTAACTGGTATGCAATGTTCTATGTGATAGTATATGTGATGCAAGGGAGGTAGGTTGTTGGGGAAATGACAGTTAGACGTTAGTGAGGTTGAGAGTGTTGCATGTCTATAACCAATTAAACAACCTTGACTAAAGACATTGTTGTGTCATCAGGGCCATATTCCAATAGACCGTATTCGACGTAATAAGCGCCCCACTCTAATAAGCGCCAGTGGCGATATTTGCTAATATATTGGCTAGTGAGCGATCCCAATCAGCACCCCTTCCGATTGATCAATGTACACAAGACTTATTTATTCCTGTATAATATGCACTCGTGTGTTATATCACCCTTAATTATGGGCAATTAAATTCTTGAAAAATATATCTGTCGTATGTAAACACTTCAGGCTGTTAGCATAAACCACGAAATTACGATCTTTCAACTTAAAATAATATTCTAATAAGCGCCCCCTATTTCTAATTTTGAGAGCGCCCTGGGTGCTTATTACGTTGAGTACGGTAACTGTATTTTTGCATGTTGGGATTGAACACCTGGTGTCTTTTCTGAATGGTCTCCAATGGTAAACACACAGATTATAGCAGGGATAAATGTCAAAGCTTACCACAACCGAAGAAGTTTGGTCCTGAGCGATGCTGTTGACATCCTTGATGTTTGTCTTCATCTTCTCATAGGTCTCGCTGCCATTGAAAGCATCACACAGTTGCTGAAAACAAAGTGCCACATTGTCTCATCTATGAGTGAGTGATGTTTTACACCGCTTTTAGCAACATTCCAGCAACATTATGGTGGGGAACATAGCATAGTCGCTTTTAACGGCAAGCATAGGTTGCTGAAGACATTTTCTACCCCGGATCTTCACAGGTCGACATTGCAACAACAGAACAAAATTAGCAAACTAAGTAAGAACAAATGTTTCGTCATGTAGTACAACAATCCTGAGTAATTTCGTGATATTAATAATGTGCATATTTACAATGTGCCAAATCAACATTGTAGTGAGTGAGCTTGGTTTTACGCCGCTTTTAGCAATATTCCAGCAATATCACGGCTGGGGACACCAGAAATGGGCTTCACACATCCACATTGTAAACAATGCTCAAAGCGTAACATTATTACCCAGGTCAATGCATCAGTGTGCATTTAAATTTTATATCTCAGCTCCCTGGGGAGTATACAACCCAAGCTGAGAGGCACTAGAAGGTTAACAGTCACATTACTACCAGTCCTACCAGGTACCCATTCATTGCTGGGTGAATGATATTTAAATGACACGTGCTTCAGTGTGGGGCAGGACTGAAGCCCTAGAATCTCCCAGGAGCAGACACCCATCCAACTACTCTCCGAGACCAATGTTGTTTAACTTCACCTTATTTGTACGGTAATAATGGAACAAATACAAAGAGACTGCCCTGTATGGCTTTATATCTACCTGAATGATCAAGAAAGTTGACTTTTTATCCAATGAAGGCTCTGCTTAAAAAATCTTGGCAATTGTCTACTAATCTGGTAGTGGTATGCAAGGTATAGGAATCATGAGTTACCTCCACTTTCTCCCGACACTCTGGTTCTCTGCCTGGCACAATGGCCAATGTAAGCACATAAAAGTCTGCAGGGTTGTAGTTTTGAGGGCAGGGGTGGCCCCGGCTGAAGGAATAGAAGAAAAATACAGCGAACCACATTCATCCGTGCCTGAGCCCTTAGTCTCTCGACTATATTGCTGTTTGGATTATCTCTGCATGGGCGGATACAGCTTTTTTGAAAAGGGGGGGTGCATAATTAAGATCTATTTATTGTCTTTGGTGGTAATTTATACAGAAATAAAGATTTTTTTCGAAATAAAAAGGGGGGGTGCGCACCCCCGCAAACCCCCTCTGTATCCACCCATGCTCTGTATGATTTAAGTGACATTCGAGAGTGGGGATTTATGATAGGGGTGTGGGGACAGATGCGATTATAGAGGGGAGGGGAGAAGAAGCATGACAAAATGACGCAGTGAAAAAGGGGAATCGCCAATATTTATCACAACTATATGACACAGCTCTATATTTTTCCATAAACATTTATAAATTTGAACAGTATTTAGGGACTAGTAATTTATTATAGGGAGGGGGATCATGCTAAATGTATCAGAGGTGGGTTGGTTGGTTGGTTTGTTGTTTAACGCCGCACTCAGTAATATTCCAGCTATGTGACGGCGGTCTGTAAATAATCGAGTCTGGACCAGACAATCCAGTGATTGATATCATGAGCATTGATCCACACAATGGGGATCGATGACATGCATCAACCAAGTCAGCGAGCCTGACCATCCGATCCCGTTAGTTGCCTTTTACGACAAGCATAGTCACCTTTTACGGCAAGCATGGGTTGCTGAAGACCTATTCTAACCCGGATCTTCACGGGTCATCAGAGGTGGGAGGATGGGGGTTGGGGGAAGAACATGACAAATATGTTACTATGTCCTTAATGTGTACTATGTCTTCAGCATTCCATGCTTGTCGCAACTTATGGGATCGGGTGGTCAGACTCGCTGACTTGGTTAATGCATGTCATCGTATCCCAATTGCATGGATCGATGGTCATGATATTAATCACAGGATTGTCTGGTCCAGACTTGATTATTTACAGACCGCCACCATATAGCAGGAATATTGCTGAATGCGGCGTTAAACAAACAAATAAAACAAACAAATCAACAAACACATAAATAATAAATCGGTATTCCAGACATTTTCACGGGTCATAATGTATCACAGAGCTAGAGCTAATCACTCTATAGAAGTAGAATCAACAGATTTGAGGGATTTCTACAAACTCAAACCATGTTATGGTTGGTATATACTTTCTCTATTATTTTATATAATGGCCTATAGTTACATAGGTTTTACTTATTGAAAATGCCCATTTACAATGTCACGATAATTCCTGCCTCAGATTCAACTTGAAAATATGTTATATTTCTAAGCCTATGGACTTGACACAAGTTCATTTGAACAGTAGTCTAGGTATGTGAAGTTATAGTTCAAAGGGCATAACTTATGATAACTTTTGGCAACTTGGTCCATGTTGATGGCAGAGTTGCATCCCTTTGGCACGCCAGAACCTGAGTGTGTGTTTGTCAGCACCATACCCGTGCTCGTGGATTTCACCAAAGTGGTAAACGTCTGAACCTGCATCACTTCGGGATTTCCACCCACAAGGAGCTGACACCCCATGATATGACTGAAATACTCTTCAAGTGGTGTTAATCCCAACTCACTTACTACCAATAGAAACAAACCACACAGAACTTCTTCAGATGTAGGTAATCATTAAGTACTGACCTTGAGAAGAAGTCAAAGGCATCTTTAGATGAACCCATGAATGCTGTCCTCCCTTCCGCCAGGAGTAAAACCCTGAAACAGCAATGAGTGAACCAGTGAACCAGTGTCTTAACAAATCAAACTGTGCCCCAGTTATACATGTTTATACTTTGTTCAGATGGACAGAAAGTCCTGCCTCAGAATCAACTGCACCGACAATAGCGTGACATCATCATAAGTGACGATGACATTGCACAACCTAATCTGGCAGGTGTCATAACCCTTACATCACAAGTCTTATGGGTCTCACGTCATACTCAATCTCATTAAAATCAGAACTTAGTTTTCGCTACCGCTAAACAAAGATCTGAGGACATCCCATTACGGGTCACGTCAGAACGACCTTTCGCGAATTTTGACCGCCCAATGAAATAACTGACAAGAAATCGACATTAACCAATCTAGTTTGAAACTAGTGTCGTAAAGCTCGAGAAAGCTGCCTTCTGATTGGTCATTCCACTGGTCGGTCAAAGTTCGCGCAAGGTCGGTCTGATGTGACCCGTAATGGGATGACCTCAGATCTTTGTTTAGCGGTAGCGAAAACTAAGATCTGATTTAAATGAGACTGGGGTTTCACCAAAGTGGTAAACGTCTGAGACCTGCATCACTTGGGGCTTTCCTCCAAAATTAGCTGACACACCGTGATATAACTGGATACTGTTCAAGAGGCGTTAAACCCAACTCACTCACTCACTCCTAATTCACAGCGAGAGAACTATTGGAAGGACACCTACTCGTCAAACATGGCAAAGACCTCTGAGGACGGCTGATGGATGGTACACAGGATGGTTCTGCCCTTGGACGCCATGTTCTGGAGGGTCTGGACAATGTTCTGGGCCATGAAAGAATCGAGCCCCGATGTCGGCTCATCACAAAACATCAGTGGGGGGTTGGTCAGCGCCTGAACAGACGTTTCAATGTAAGTCGTCATGTCAATTTAATGAGAAGACCATTTTGTCAAAGAAATATTATTCAACATCATATAACATAGGTGTGCAAGGCTGTAGTTAACTTATTTTGACAGGGTGGGCAAATATTTGTACAAGTATCACTTGTCCCCAACTTGTATTTTCATGATTTAAATAAAACTGATTTCTATAAAAATCCCCCGGCTGGCTACGCCACTGGTGTGTAAAAAAGTTAGAAAGGTTTATATTATGACCCCAAGAATAACAGGGTGGTGAATATATGCATGGACACCATCAACAACAATACATGTAATAACAGACTGTGACAAGTATGATTGGCCCTGGAACAATGGCTACAAAACTTGTGATCACCAACATCTAATATAAGACTGTGACAAGTATGATTGGCCCTGGAACAATGACTACAAAACTTGTGATGTCCGACGTCTAATATAAGACTGTGACAAGTATGATTGGCCCTGGAACAATGACTACAAAACTTGTGATGACCCACGTCTAATATAAGACTGTGACAAGTATGATTGGCCCTGGAACAATGACTACAAAACTTGTGATGACCGACGTCTAATACAAGACTGTGACAAGTATGATTGGCCCTGGAACAATGACTACAAAACTTGTGATGACGGACGTCTAATACAAGACTGTGACAAGTATGATTGGCCCTGGAACAATGACTACAAAACTTGTGATGACCGACATCTAATACAAGACTGTGACAAGTATGATAGGCACTGGAACAATGACTACAAAACTTGTGATGACCAACGTCAAATACAAGACTGTGACAAGTATGATAGGCACTGGAACAATGACTACAAAACTTGTGATCACTGACGTCTCATATAAGACTGTGACAAGTATGATTGGCCATGGAACAATGGCTACAAAACTTGTGATGACCGACGTCTAATACAAGACTGTGACAAGTATGATAGGCACTGGAACAATGACTACAAAACTTGGGATGACCGACGTCAAATATAAGACTGTGACAAGTATGATAGGCACTGGAACAATGACTACAAAACTTGTGAAGACCGACATCTAATATAGGACTGTGACAAGTATGATTGGCCCTGGAACAATTACTACAAAACTTGTGATGACCGACGTCTAATACAAGACTGTGACAAGTATGATTGGCCCTGGAACAATGACTACAAAACTTGTGATGACGGACGTCTAATACAAGACTGTGACAAGTATGATTGGCCCTGGAACAATGACTACAAAACTTGTGATGACCGACATCTAATACAAGACTGTGACAAGTATGATAGGCACTGGAACAATGACTACAAAACTTGTGATGACCAACGTCAAATACAAGACTGTGACAAGTATGATAGGCACTGGAACAATGACTACAAAACTTGTGATCACTGACGTCTCATATAAGACTGTGACAAGTATGATTGGCCATGGAACAATGGCTACAAAACTTGTGATGACCGACGTCTAATACAAGACTGTGACAAGTATGATAGGCACTGGAACAATGACTACAAAACTTGGGATGACCGACGTCAAATATAAGACTGTGACAAGTATGATAGGCACTGGAACAATGACTACAAAACTTGTGAAGACCGACATCTAATATAGGACTGTGACAAGTATGATTGGCCCTGGAACAATGACTACAAAACTTGTGATGACCGACGTCAAATATAGGACTGTGACAAGTATGATAGGCCCTGGAACAATGACTACAAAACTTGTGATGACGGACGTCTAATATAAGACTGTGACAAGTATGATTGGCCCTGGAACAATGACTACAAAACTTGTGATGACCGACGTCTAATATAGGACTGTGACAAGTATGATTGGCCCTGGAACAATGACTACAAAACTTGTGATGACCGACGTCAAATATAAGACTGTGACAAGTATGATAGGCACTGGAACAATGACTACAAAACTTGTGAAGACCGACATCTAATATAGGACTGTGACAAGTATGATTGGCCCTGGAACAATGACTACAAAACTTGTGATGACCGACGTCTAATATATGACTGTGACAAGTATGATTGGCCCTGGAACAATGGCTAGAACACATGTAATGACAGTTGTCTAATAACAGACTGTGTGGGACAAGTCTGCCCACCTCTGAAGTAGAGGAACCAAAAGTTGGGACTACAGATCTCACTACAGGGAAATTCTCACCTCTGAAGCGAAGGACAGTCTCTTCATCTCACCACCTGAGATGCCCTTGGTCCGGCCTGGCGTCCCGATCTGTGTATCCACACACTTGCTCAGGCCCATCTAAAGGCAAGCAATTACAAGTTTCTGGTGAAGTATGGGATCAAGTTGGTTGGTTGTTTTACGTCGCACTTAGCATTATTCCAGCTATATGACGGCGGTCTGTAAATAATAGAGTCTGGACCAGACAATCCAGTTATTAATATCATGAGCATCAATCCACGCAATTGGGATCGATGACATGCATCAACCAAGTCAGCAAGCCTGACCACCCGATCCCTTTAGTCGCCTCTTGTGACAAGCATAGTCACCTTTTACGGCAAGCATGGGTTGCTGAAAACCTATTCTACCCCGGATCTCCACGGGTCTGGGATCAAGTAGTACCATTCAAATCATACTCAGCAAGAAACCGACAGGTATGGCTTCTTTTCCTCATTCTTAATTTACTGATTTTCTTTTTCAGATCAAGCTTCAGTGGACATGAAAATAAAAACAATCTTTCAAACACCTTTTTCTGAAAGTGATTGAATGTATTGACTGAAAGAAGTATACTTTGGGGAAAAATAAAGAAAAAACAAAATACAATAAAAAATGTTTGTTTGTTCAAAATATTTGTCGTCAGTTCATTGGGTTCAGTCTATTGGGTATTTGAAACCAATGAGTTGACATATTTTAGATAATTTTGCTTAAAACGTTGTTTCCGGTGACTTCTAATTTGCATCTGTTTTTGTGCTGTTGTTTCAGTGTGTTCTATGCATAACCATTGAACGTACGAGGCACAGTGAGGAACATTATAAGTTGTCTCATGTGAATTAGGTTTTATTTCTCTCTCCGTAGTCTTCTGAGCGATGAGGCTGTAAGTACATGGTTTGTTTGTTGTTTAACACCACACCCAGCAATATTCCAGCTATATGACGGCAGTCTGTAAATAATCGAGTCTAGACCAGGCAATCCAGTGATTGATATCATGAGCATTGATCTATTGGGATACGATGACAAGCACCAACCAAGTCGACGAGTCCGACCACCCAATCCCGTTAGTTGCCTCCTACAACAAGCATAGGTTGCTGAAGCCCAATTCTAACCTGGATCTTCACAGGGTGTTTTGGCGAATGCAATTTCAACATGGTCAAATGTTGAAATCTTAGCCCATTACTGGTCTACCTTGGAATTTTGTTCATGACAGAAAATAATTAACAAAAGACGAAAAAAGAAAATTTCTGAAAATTAAAATGTTATTGCACATGTTTTATTTATTGTCGGTACAGTCGGTACAGTAGTTATGATCAGTACATAACTATGTTTATACACCATGCACCCACCTCTACAATCACCTCCTCCACTCTCTGTAACCGCGCCTTCTTCTTCAGGCTCCTGTCCATCCTCAGTAGGGCCTGCAGGTCAGAGCAACAGTAGTAGTAGTTGTAGTAGTAGTAGTAGTAGTAACAGTAGCAGTAATAGAAGTAGTAACAGTAATAGTAGTAGAAGCAGTAGTAGTAGTAGTAGTAATAGTAGTAGCAGTAATAGTAGTAGAAGCAGTAGCAGTAGTAGTAGTAATACTAGTAGTAGAAATAGTAGTAACAGTAGTAGTAGTAGTAGTAGTAGTAGCAGTAATAGTAGTAGAAGCAGTAGTAGCAGTAGAAGTAGTAACAGCAGTGGTAGAAGCAGTGGTAGTAGTAGTAGTAGATGTAGTTGTAATTTTAACAGTAGTAGAAGCAGTGGTAGTAGGAGTAGTAGTAGTAGTAGTAGTAGTAGTAGTAGTAGAAGTAGTAGTAGTAGTAGCAGTTGAAGCAGTTGAAGCAGTAGAAGTAGTAGCAGTAGTAACAGCAGTAGTAACAGCAGTAGTAGAAGCACTGGTAGTAGTTGTAGTAGTAGTAGTAGTAGATGTAGCAGTAATAGTAGAAGAAGCAGCAGTAGTAGTAGTAGAAGTAGTGACAGCAGTAGTAGAAGTAGTAGTAGTAGTAGTAGTAGTTGTAGTTGTAATAGTAGTAGAAGCAGTAGTAGATGTAGCAGTAATAGTAGTAGAAGCACCAGTAGTAGTAGTAGTAGAAGCAGCAGTAGTAGTAGTAGTAGTAGTAGTAGTAGTAGTAATAGTAGTAGAAGCAGTAGTAGTAATAGAAGCAGTAGAAGCAGTAGTAGTAGTAGTAGTAGTAGTAGTAGTAGTAGTAGTAGATGTAGCAGCAATTCTTCAGACATACATGATAGTGACTTTAAATAACCAACTATACACAGCCCTATGATTGGTCCGAACAGACTGCCGAGACCGCCTCTGTGGTCTAGTGGTAGAGCGTCCGCCCAGAGTGCGGAAGGTCCGGGGTTCGATCCCCGGCCGCGTCATACCAAAAGACATTAAAAGATGGTACTTGTTGTTACCCTGTCTGGCGCTAGGCATCAAGGGGCTAAAACAAGGACTGGTCGGCTCAGAGTCAGTATACTGTGTCTGAGTGGGGTATTCATGTTAAACTGCGGCATGGTATCTCAGTGAGCTAGCACTATCAATCGGCATCAGTCCGGACTAGTACAAGCAGCCACACACACACACGCGTGCATGCACGTCGCTATATAAGTGCAATAATCTTGGACGTGACGTTTAACCCCATTTCACCTCCCCTCATCAAACAGACAGCCAGGGGTATAAGTGGACATATTTCCCTGTTTTCTGTCTGTTAATGATTATCTTCGCGTTGGATGACATTACAATGTTTACCCTGAATATGAGATGTTCTTTGACAGTGAGAGTGCCAATGAAGAGTTCATCCTGCTGGACGTAGGCGGAGATGTTCTTGATGCCCCGCCCAACATCCACACCGTTGACTTTTATTCCTCCTTCTACGATATATTGTGCAACATTTCTGTTTGTCAGAACATTCATTAGAGTTGACTTGCCAGCACCACTATGAAGAAAATAAAAGTTTGATAGCCAATGATGACGATGATGATGATGATGATGATGATGATGACAAAACCTATTCTATATTCATTACAAATCCCTGCTAAGTGCAGGGTCGAATGTATGATTCTGACCATATAATGAGCATGTGCTTCTGAATGACTATCAAACAGTGATGATACCAGGTGCTTGAGAAAAGATGAGTGTATCCTGCCCCATCGGTGGCACCCGTCACAAACACTTGCAAAGGAAAGTCAATTGATCACCTGAAAAAACACGGGAACATATGGTACAAGTCACAACAGGGATTTGCATCACTTTGGTCACTGATGCATCAAATGTGTTAATAGCATTTAGTGATTAGAACTAAATGCCTTTATGTCAGGCTTGGCATCGCTGCTATTATTATTACAGCTAAATACCTTCATTCTGTACGTCTACATGCTGATTTGCATAGTGCCATCGTCTCTGACCTAGATCCGCTTTTGGCACGTCCAGCATAGAAGCGTTTGTTTATATTTCCAGGACATCTTGTAGCGTGGCATCAGCTCACGCAGCACTTGCTCTCCAGCTTTCAGCCGTACAACACATAGTTATATTCGCGCATTCATCTGTAGTTTGTTGCACCTACCCACCCACCCTGTTATCCTTAATTACAAGTTATTCAAGCTTTGCAGTTGTCAATTTGGTGGAACTTTACTGGAGCATTATGTTTGTATATAATGATGTCGTCATGAATAAAATGTTGCGGATGGGCGGGGTGCTGGTGGACTGCATTACAAGCTACATTTGGCGTCTTTGGATACATCCCAAAATATAAATTACCGTATTCGACGTAATAAGCGCCCACTCTAATAAGCGCCCACGGCGATATTTGCTAATATATTGGCAAGTGAACAATCCCAATTAGCACCCCTTCCAATTGATCAATGTACACAAGACCTATTTATTCGTGTATAATACGCACTCGTGTGTTAAATGCACCCTTAATTATGGGCAATTAAATTCTGGAAAAATATATCTGTCTTATGTAAACATTTCAGGCTGTCAGCATAAACCACGAAATTTACGATCTTCCAACTCTGTTTTTTTTTCACCAAAATAATATTCTAATAAAAATAACCCCAATTTCTAATTTTGAGAGCGCCCTGGGTGCTTATTACCTCGAATACGGTTTATAGGATAGGGTTGCCCTGGACTTTGAGTTGAAAAATCCGTAATCTTAAAAATAAAAAAACCCTAGCCTAATTGACTCCTGTTACCAGGTGTGGGTTTTATCAATAAATTTGTTATGACGAAACATTGATCAGATGAATTGTCAAATATTATACTGTTATTTACAATAACATAACTTTCTATGAAGCACAGTTACTTTTTTCCATAAGTATTTTATTAAAAATCCAATATATATTATATTTCTTGCATGCTAGAGCATGATGAACACATGGGTACCGTATCACATGGATCAGTTAAATTGAATATATCAGTGCACAATGGAAAATCGTTATTAAAAATGTTAATTGTGATTGCAGCTGTGTGAATGATATATATCTGTCATTTGTAAATATCAAAGCCATAAATAAAAAAGATTGAGCACAGCTTCTGCATGTTCTGTAGGCATTTGGTGAATAAAAAAACAAAATGTAATAAGCTCATGTATACTGAATCAAAAAGACTGTTGATTAATTTTCCAGTGAACATATGCTGCCTGCTTATTTACCCTGCTTGGTGCTCGGTCTTCTATTGGTCAAAATGTGGATTCAAAAACCCGTCTTTGAGTACATGTACCTGATAATGGGTCATCTTTGTTTGTCAAACTCATTAAAAATCAGACCTTCATCTAAATTGCATTTTATCGGTACGATAATGCAGCAAACAGACTAAAGGTCACTACAACAAGTCCACAATCCAGAGAGATAACCTTCAGCAACCCATGCTTGCTGTAAAAGGGGTCTATGCTTGTCGTAAGAGGTGACTAACCGGATCGGGTGGTCAGGCTCGCTGACTTGGTTGAAGCATGTCATCGATCATAATTGTGTGGATCGATGCTCATGATATCGATCACTGGATTGTCTGGTCCAGGCTCGATTATTTACAGACCACCATCACATAGCTGGAATATTGCTGATTGCGGCGTTAAACAACAAACAAACAACCAACTAGAGAGATAGCATAAGTCCATCCAGACGTCACTGGTCGACTGTTTCAATGATCATAAAAAGTTTTCATTGTTTATGTGGACACCTTTCATGCTAACAGTGCCCTCGGCCAAGTCACTTTCATTCCCCTCCTTTTTAAAATCCTGGATCTGCTTCTGTCTTTAAAACATACCATGCACAATAACACCCAATATGACACCATGCTTATATACACCAGCTAATGAATATAGAAAATAATAACATAAATGTTTAATAAATAAACATTAAGAGGGGTGTCACTATTGTCCAATTTATCGATACATTGTGAATTTACACCTCACGACACAATACACCATATGCCCTTACGTGATGTATCAACTGACTAGGAATAATTCTGTATCGTTTAAAAAAAAGTAATATTTAAGTTTTGCAATAACCCGGCCTGACAGGCACTCTGGCTAGCATCTGTCACAAAACAAACAGCTAAATCTGACTACAGAAAACTAATCGAACAATCCTAAATTTACCAAATATGTGAGAAACACAAATTGGTTGATAGGCCTTAAGAAAAATTTTAGTTGGTTTGCAAGACTAAATGATAAAAAACACCTGCATAGAGAATTAAGGAAACAGAATGACTTTTGACAAACTTGGGGCGCTGACTCTGCTTTACATTTGAGGTGAGGTGAGGTGAAATTGGGTTTAACGTCGCATCCAAGATTATTGCACTTATATAGCGACGTGCATGCACATGTATGTGTGTGTGTGGCTGCTTGTACTAGTCCGGACTAATGCCGATTTATAGTGCTAGCACACTGAGATATCATGACGCAGTTTAACATGGATACCCCACTCAGACACAGTATACTGACTCCGAGCCGACCAGTCCTTGTTTTAGCCCCTTAATGCCGAGCGCCAGACAGGGTAACAACAAGTACCATCTTTTAACGTCTTTTGGTATGACGCGGCAGGGGATCGAACCCCTGACCTTCCGCTCTCTGGGCGGACGCTCTACCACTAGACCACTTTACATTTGAAGGAATGGAAAAAACACATGGAAAATATAGAATACTAAACGAGCTCCCGTGTAATACCAATTTTATGAAACGAGTGAATAGTTGTGGTATCTGACGAGCGAAAGCGAGTCAGATACCACAACTATTCACGAGTTTCATAAAATTGGTTTTACACGAGAGCGAGTTTAGTATTTTATTTATTACTTGCAATTTATAACGTTTTTTGAATTATACTGTTGAGTATGAATAGGCTGACACCTACATGATCCACGACATAGTCCAATTGAGTTTAACAGAATAATACTTCAAACACGTCAAAAGTTGAAACGTATGAATTTCATACCATACAACGGGTCTACCTTTAGAATTCACAAAGTTATCGTAGGGCTAAGACTTTCGCATCTCACATACTTTAACTTAGACCAACGACTGTCGTTGCGCTACAATACGATCGCCTTGTGGAACGGGCCTTGCACCTCAAAGTTTTCAATAACGTCACAATACCCGATGACGTAATTTGTGGAATTTTGATGCAAGACCATCGGCGAAACAATGCCATGTGATGTCAGCCTAGCAACAAGGTTGCTGGGGTCATCGAGTGTGCATAAGCTCCTCTCAGTGATCTATCAACTCCACACGCAATGTCGTTGAATAAGCCAAGGGATGTTGAGAGCTTTCAATATTTGTTCGTGAAACGTGTTCCGAGAGTACATAAGCACGCGTTTTGGTATTACACAATGTGTAATAAAGCTGTATGTTTATTAAACGGGTGATCTCATCACGGGCAAGTAATAAAGAGACCTTATGACTGCAATCGCTATTTGGGTAAACCTACACTAACCCCTGGATCCATTTTTTCTGTGTTGCTCGCGATCTCAAATTACCCATCCTTGATCTTCTTTTGCAAATTTGATTTGCTACGCTACTCAATCTTTAAATATAGTGAAACAATACAGTGTGTTGCGGTACAAAAGGAATTCGATCAAAGCGTGAGAGAGAAAAAGCACATGCAGCATGCACACAACTGAAGTCATGGCACGTAAAATTGAACAACCTTTCATCACCTGCCCTGGTGGTTCAGTGGGGAAACAGTGGGTTAAAAGTGAAAAAGACTTTTCACCAATCAAAATTTAACATTCTATTTACACCAAAAGGCCAGTTTATAACACATTTTAACACCTAGGTTTTACAATTCAAAAGTGAAACCTCAAAGCAGGTCTCACTTGAAAGTAGTACCTCTCACAAGGTTTTTATGAGATAGGAAGATACCTGCAATACAATCAGCTTCCTGAGGCAAGAGAGTTAACTGACTATAAAAGTCCAGTTTCCACCCTTGCCGAACTAGGCTGGTATTATGGAGTTAAATTTTGGCTGGACTAACGAGTCGAAATCCGGTTCGTAAACTGTCGTGCCGATTTCGGTCGATTGCAGGATTTGCAAAACATGTGCCTTGCCAACTTGTTGTCAACAGATATTTTCAAAACCTTTTCATGTTTTTAATCAAGGTGCTCGCATGATTTGATGCACTTCGCAATGTAAGACTTGTTTTATCACATTATAGATCTTGATTATCGATCAGATCGTCTTGACTGGGCGCCGCCATTTTGTTTGAAACAAATGCAAGTGATAGAATGCGATTGGTCCATAGGAGAGGTTCAAAAGGGACATAACTCATAATAACCACTGGTGGCGCTACGATCGAGCCCAGGAATTCCAGCCTAGTTCGGCAAGGGTGGAAACTGGACTTTTTAAAGTCAGTTAACTCTCTTGCCTCGGGAAGATATAATACAATAGGCAAAATAGGTTTATAATCAGTGACACTTACCTGGCCCCTATAATAGCAAGAAGTGACCCCGGCTTCACCATTCCTGTCACTGAAACACATAGTGCACAGGTTTACATGATTTGTTACTTCATACAACAGGTACAGAAGCTCACCTTCTGCCACACTACTTATTATTTATAAAAGACATGATACCACATAAATGGATATTTTTTAATATCATAAATCTTCAAAGTTCTCAGAACATTTGTGATACCTTTTTGGATGATGCCTGCATTCACTGAGTAAACAAAGATCAGTAAGCATGGGAAGGACTAGGGCTGGGACGGGTAACTCGGGTACTCGGGTACTCGGGTCGGGTGGGTCATGAGTAGAACCTGGGTACCCACCTGACTACCCGGACCCGTGGTTAGTCACTAATATATTATTTAATGCCAAAATTTCACTTTAACTTCATGGTTACACAACAAGTCACATACCTCCTTACTATTATTCAAAGCTTCAGTCAACTTCAGTGTAGGCGTGACAAGATCATTTGATAAGTGTATCTAAATACTTTTGTCAGGGCTCTGGTAAAACAATTCCAATTGGACGTTTTATAGCCAACACTTGATCAGGAGGCCTTCAGTGGGTACCTGGTAGGGACGGGTAATAGCGGGTTGGGCATATTTTAAGCAAATACATGCCAATCTGTAGTTCATTGTCAGTGTGATTTGCAATATTTTCAAAGCAGAAGAAGATCTGATTTCTTCTGTTGTCATTTTCAATATGAATATGTTTGCATATTTTATACAGTTCTATGTTAGTGTTCTTTGCAATATTTTCCAAACAACAGATCTGATTTCTTCACTGGTGTAATTTACATTTTGTTCTCCACAAGCAAGTCCAAAAACCAAGTAAGGGACCTACCATTTGATATTCTGGGGGACCTGGAGATTTTATAAAAAAAACATTAATTGTCCTCCCAAATTCTTGAAATAAATAATTATGCTTCAGACCATTAAAAAAAGAAAAAGAAACTGCCTGCCACAAAATTACATTGCGGCAAGGTGTTTTTCATTAAAAAAATCAGGCTCACAGTTTCAATAAAAAATATCCAGCTTTGTAGCTGCAGCTGACAAAAATATCTAATCGTGATACAAATTACATTGTTGCAAGGTGTTTTTCATTTTAAAAAAAAATAAAACAAGAGTTTGCCACTAACGTGGCTATATCCCCCACCCCTGTTGCAGAATTTATGACATAATTAAATCTAAACAAACCCCAATGTTTTTTAACCGAGGTGGAACTTTTGTCATGGAAATTGTAAAAAAAAAAAGAGTTTGGAACCTAAGTACATCTTGTTGCCATGGAAATGTAAAAAATAAAAATTTCTAACATTTCTAAATAGCAAAAGGCACCAGTTCAGCATATACCTGACAGACATGCAAAGTTTCTGAGTTATGGCCCGGAAATGAAATTTGACAGACGGACATATGGACGGACGGATGGACGGAGCCCGTTTCTATATCCCCTGCCAACTTTGTTGGGCGGAGGATAAAAATATCCGGCTTTGTGGCTGCAGCTTAAAAAATATCTAATCGTGCTACAAAATCCCAGGCCCCCAACAGAACCTCAAATGGTCGGTCCCTATTCTAGTGGGGGAATTTTGTCTCTTCATCTCCATGCTCCTGACCTGACCTGACCTTGATGATGACCAGCAGGATGTGATTAGCCAACTGTCACATGTGGGTCAGTCTAGATTAGACATATCAGTAGCGTGTTGTACCCCTGTACACACCTTCCACTGCAGATTCTGTAGATGTTAACGATCCAACCATGTACTAGTATAGGGATGGGGACTGGTTTTTTTTGTGAGAGACAGAATATTTTTTCAGCCACTGCAACGCTACATAATTTTTCTCTCAGAGAAGCAAAATAATTTTATTTCTTTTCACTCCACATCTTTTTTAGGGGCATTCAGCATGTCCAGTGGACAATTAAATTTGTTTTAAACTAAGCGTGTCAGCTAGAACAGTATCTTTACCAGGAGTTAAGCTGTATATTTTAATCTATAATGTATAAAGCACTATATATTTAATCGTTAACAGAGGACAATGACTGGGACCCACCATCTTCTGAGGCAAGCGTGTCCTCTAGCCCCTTTCAAATCCTAGTTTCTACCCTTGCCACATCAAGGCCACATTTCTTGGCTCGGCCCTGGTTGGTAGATCGCGTAGATCACGAGTTGTGCCCCTTGTAATGAAAACGTGATATCCAATAAGATCGCTGTTCTTATCTCGTATAGCTTCACAAAGATAACAACTAAAGTCCGTTTGACTCCAAATGAGAACGATGAATTGCAAAATAACTCGAAATCCAGAAAAGTGTATGAAACATCAATACGGTACTTGACCATGAATACCCTGTACCCAACAAAATCTGAATTTTGATTAATTTAAGACCCATGACAGATGAAGTTCTTTAAGAAACTATCAAGTAATTTTGTATAGAAATGTGTACATGACACGTAGGGGGATGTTATTGATGTTTCATACACTTTTCTGGATTTCGAGTTATTTTGCAATTCATCGTTCTCATTTGGAGTCAAACGGACTGTACCATAGGCGACGACCTAGTCGATCTGATATTGAAAACCTTCGAGATTGCATCCCTGACACAAAAACAGGCAATCTTTTGGGGGTTATAAAGATGAAAAAGACATGTCAACAAAGACAGGCACGTTTCTTACAAAGGTGTACCAGTCGTGGATCGATATGTGTGATAGTCCAATCATATTTAGCACAGGAAAGTGGGCTTGATGTGGCAAGGGTGGAAACAAGACTTGGATGAAAAGGCTAGTGGACCAATCTCATTAAAATCAGACCTTAGTTCTCGCTACCGTTAAACAAAGATCTGAGGACATCCCATTAAGGTTCACGTCAGAACAACCTTTCATCCGACCAATGAGAGCGTCGCTTACCAGATCATGAAAGTGACAGTCGGAATGTGATTTCTAATCATGCAGCCTCAAAAACTTTAAAACGGGGTATTCCAAACGATAGTTACGGGCTTAACGACCGAATCTTTACTACATAGACCATATATTAACCATTCGAGAATGTTCTTTTGTTCAGGTTTCAAATTGTTAAGTGAGAATTTGTCAAAATACGTTTCGAAGCGTAGTCGCCAATTTGAAATTAGTGCCGTAAAGCACGAGAAAGCTGCCTTCTGATTGGCTAATATCAACTTCTTGTCAGTAATTCCATAGGTTGGTCAGAGTTCGCGAAAGGTCGGTCTGACGTGACCCGTAATGGGATGTCCTCAGATCTTTGTTTAGCGGCAGCGAGGACTAAGATCTTATTATAATGAGATTGCTAGTGGACGCTCTTGCTTCAGGAAGGTGGGGACCCACTGACTTCAATTAATAATTTAGTACAACTTCCTTACCGTTGCGTAATATCTGTTTCTGTTTGACTGCTTCCGAACCTCCACCACAACACTTCTTTCTCTCCGATTTCACATAAACATTAACATTTTCCCACGACAGATGGATGGGATCCACCCCTTCACTGTAGCTTTTCCTATGATGGGACTGTTCTCGTCTTTTTGCAATGTAGGGCTCGTAAATTTTGTTTTCTCTGACTTCCAATGATCCATCAATTGGGGTCTCAGACTGCCCCCTTGGTGGAACATTGACATATACATGGCTGTCCCTCGCAGTGTCCTCCTTAAGGAGAGGAACTTTCTCACTCGCCGACATCCTGGACGGTCAGTTATTGGAAATCTTTGTTAAATTCTGAAAAAGAAATAATAAATATTATCAAACACGAATAGTGACAATTATGTACTGTAAATCGTGAAACTAATGCATCTCCAAAAGAATGCGACCACTGGTCCCTAGCCAAAGATGCGACTCAATATGAATGCGACACCCCCCTCCTCTCAAGAATCAGTGGATTTATGTATAAAGAAAATGTCCTCTGTCAGGTTTACAGAAGAATCCACACCGTAATCCATCCTTACATTAATTCAATCACCAACCAAATAGCACCGCTTAATAGCGCTGAGTAGAGTACTTCTGCTAAAACAATACATGCGCGCTGGATCGTGTCGGCCTTTGACGAAGTCGCAAAGAACAAAGACACCGTGTTGTGTGGGTGGCGTCTGTAGGGACTTGCAGGTGTGATCAGTGATGACATAAGTGAGTAGAGCGCTTGTCTTGACCGCAGCAGTGACAATTCACAGGATGTAATTTGTGTTTGAATGACAATGTTTGTATACTTACAACAAGTGCTGCTAAAGAAATCAGTGTTGTGGAATACATAGCTGTATGTTTTCTGCATATGTCTAAGTTGGTATTTCTCCTATCCAAAATGTCTTATTGTTGATATAAATGCGATGTTTAATAATGCGAACAAAGACCACTCGCATTTTTCGCATTTAATTCACAGAAAACCTTCAAATAATGGTACAAAACATCATCAGATATTTTCAAATTGTTGACATTTTTTTCTTTCTTGAACTTGCAAGACTCACAAGAAATACCAAATAAGTGACAAAGTTTAATTTTCCAAGTTTAAGAGAAAATCTAACTATCAGCAAGTCGGTGACCCCGAGATGATTGTTTTATATACTGAACTGCAAAAGAAACATCACCCCAAGTAACAGTGCATGAAAAGTTGTCATCTAAATATCTGGGTAATTTTTGTCAAAGCTTCTAAAATTTAACATTACCTTGTGAAAATTTGATGATAAAAAAACAAAGCAGATGACAAGAAAACCGATCGCCCAAATGCATCACGGCAAAGGCCATGGTTACCCGATGCACGTGAGTTTCGTGCAAATTGAAATGCACATGCGTTCCCCCATTTCTTGCCATATAAAAATCGACCCAGATTGGTTAACATTCATTCATTATTGAATTGCTACCACATGCCAAGATTGACAAGAAATCAGCGACACCAAGTCCTTGGAGGATTGCAAGCTGGACAAACCACCCGGCAAGTAGCCAAATCATTTCAAGTCCACGTAAGGACCATATACAGGCTCCAGCAACAGTACCAGACCACCAACACTACAGATGACCGACCATGTAGTGGAAGGTCAAGGGTCACCAATAGACGTCAGGATCGTCAGATTGTGCGACAGCAATCTTCAAGATCCCTTTGTTACTGCTGCGGAAACTGCTCGACAGACCATGGGGACACATCAGCGACACATTAGTGCGGACACCGTGCGTCGACGATTGACGAGCAGACACCTCCACTGTCACAGGCCACACCGAGGACCAATTCTGACACCATGTCATCGCTGGGACTGTCTTCAGTGGGCAACACAGCACCAGCATTGGTGCCACCAGCAGTGGAGAAGAGTCCTCTTCTCAGACGAGAGCCGTTACTGTATCTCAACAGCAGATGGCAGAGAGAGGGTCTGGCGACGCCGTGGGGAACGTTATTCGGATGCTTGTGTTGTTAAGAGAGACTTGAGGATCATGGTTAGGGGTGGAATTGGTCTTGCATAGACGGTCGGCCCTGTTGTCTTCAAGAACATCGGTCCAGCGAGAGGCAATGGTGTCACAACAGCTCGGTACATTGATCACGCCATACCTCACGAGTTGCAGCATAATAAGGCCCGTGTCCACACTGCAAGAGCAACAAGAGACTTCCTCCAGCAGAATGGCATCAGAACCATGCAGTGGCCTGCCCTCAGTCCCTATTTATATCTCCTTGAGCACCCGTGGGATGAGATTCAAAGACGGCTGAATGACGTCCGACCAAGGCCGACAACTGCAGCTAAACCGTGTCAGGAGTTCCTCAGAGTGTGGGCTTAAGTGCCTATGGCCTTCATCAACCGCCTCATCCATTCCATGTATCGACGTTGCAAGGCAATCATCAGTGCACATGGTGGACACACGAGATACTGACTTGTGATGCCATTTTCTCAGAGACTAGTGTTGTGTTTCACTTTAAGAACATTTGACACTTTAATTTCAACCTTGAAGATCAGTTTTGCCAAGTTTCATCTTTTTAATATGTCTCAAAGTAAGTTTACAGTGTTTGGACAAATAAGGTTTCTCATATATCTATCCATGGTGATGTTTCTTTTGCAGTTCAGTATACTTTTATCAACATCTCCAAGTTTCACTAATTTCTTAAATAATGTAGATCCTGTGGGACAAAAAGGGCCCTTATCATACCTTGTCCTCAACTAAAGAGTGAGTGAGTGAGTGAGTATGGTTTTACGCCGCTTTTAGCAATATTCAAGCAATATCACGGCAGGGGACACCAGAAATGGGCTTCACACATTGTACCCATGTTGGGAATCGAACCCTGGTGTTCGGCATGACGAGCGAACGCTTTAACCACTAGGCTACCCGACCGCCCCCTCAACTAAGGATCAAGTGCATGTTCCTGAGTCAGCATAGCCTCTGGCAGAAGTCAGTCCCTCTGAATGTAATAATCTTAAAAATTTAAATGACCTGCAAAAGTTAAGTTATATATCATCCAACCCCAATGTTTGCCTTCTTACTGCCAAAATCTGCCATTTTATACTTTTAAAGCAAAACCCTTATGTATATTGCCGTTAACAACTTCTTAGTATCTATGTATAACTTTTTCCATGTCTTCCTGTACATGTATATTTAACTGAATGTATATATTACGAATATCTTCGTTCATTATACATATATATAACAGTCTCTAATAACTCCAAATAGGAGTGGCTCAGATGTTATTGACATTTTTACTGTGCACTCAATGTATTCAATTGAGGTGAGACCATAATAAACAATCTGTCTGTCTGTCTGTATGAAGCCTGAATGACCCTCACTTCAATAGGGATGATTCAGTCCACATGCTTACGCAACCCTGCCAATCTTTTCACGGTTCACTGGTCACATGACCCATATCTCGGTTTGTCTCTGAGTTCTCAGTTGCCAGCTCACATCGGCATGGATAACTCACTCTATCTTATAATAAGACTGTCATTTATAGTTTGGCCAAAAAATTCAGGTCAGTAGGCCGCAAAAAATACAATAAACAAATTACAATTGCAAATTATTATTTTTGTATTTAATCCAGATATTAAGTAGGTAGGATAAAAATAATTTAATTGTAGTATTTTACGTACAGTTTACTACGGTTATAACGAAGTCAAAGGGACCACAAATTTTAATTCGTTATAACCGTAGTTCGGTGTAAGCAAATGTAGGGAATATATACAGCAAATTGACAGGACCAAAAATAGTTTGTTATATCCGTCAGTTGGTTATAAGCGTGTTCGTTATAAGAATGTTTGTTATAAACGTAGTTTACTGTACTTTATTTATATTGATAGCAAAAGTAAATGATTTGTTGTTTTTTCTATTTTTGGGAGTTGGTAGATCAAGTTTTCAAAAAGTCTGACTTTACATGTAGTTTTAGACCTGTGTCATGACTGTGGAATATATGTTTTTTTAATTATTGTTTTACTAAACACTAAAGCAAGTCTAGATCAACCCAAACCAAGTCTAGTGTTGTTGATTCCACATGAAAACAGCAGAGTAGGAAAGTTTCCTTTGAGATACATAAATCACAATTATTTAAAAAACATGTTTTCATAGACTAATGTTGGTTTGACACAGGCCTATACAATCTACAGAGGCTACAATCCTGCATACCCTGCAGTGATGTCCTACAATTGTACATGACCGCCTCTGTGGTCTAGTGGGAGAGTGGAAGGTCCGGGGTTCGATCCCCGACCGCGTCATACCAATAGACGTTAAAAGATGGTACTTGTTGTTACCCTGTCTGGCGCTCTGCATTAAGGGGCTAAAACAAGTACTGGTCGGCTCAGAGTCAGTATACTGTGTCTGATTGGGGTATTCATGTCAAACTGCGGCATGGTATCTCATTGAGCTAGCACTATAAATCGGCATCAGTCCAGACTAGTACAAGCAGCCGCACACACACACCTCACATCACAATTGTACATACCCCAGTTTCTGCTCTATACTGTGTGTTTGAGTATAGTTGCTTCTGACTGAAGGCCCACAAATAACAATCAGACCAATGACCCTGTGCATGCACCCTGGAGTAAGGGGAGATGGTTTTCATGAGGGTCACTAGGAGTGGGGACAGTCAGACATTCAAAATGCCCACATATCTGCTTCAACTTTCAGGCACCCTTACAACACTGTTGTGATTAGCATGTATAATTGGAAAGAAATTTAGTCTTTTCCAAAATTAACAATTATGGTTCTAACTTTCATTTGCATTTGCCAAAGTGTATCTAATATTAACAGATCCTAACAATACTGGATACTGTTCCCATGAAGTTAGGCTTGCATGATGTAGCTCTGAAACAGTCTTTACTACCCGGGTACCCACACCCCTATTACCCAACCCTACCCGGGTACCCGCTGTTGGTGTCAAGAGATAGGTACAAAATGTCCGATTGGGAATAGTTTGACAGATGTATTTAGATACACGTATAAAACGATGTGGTCATGCATACACTGAAGTTGACAGAATTTTTATCTTTGTTCAAACATAAGTAAGTCAGAAGGAATGCGTTCATAGTCATGAACAAATGCGAACATTAGAGACTTAAAGTTGTTGTGTAACCATGTAATTATATAGTGAATTTTTGTCATGAAACAATATATATCACGTGACTAACCATGGGTCCGGGTACCCACAGGACTACCCGGGTCCTGCTCAGTACCCACTCGACCCGAGTACCCAAGTTACCCGTCCCAGCCCTATTACAAACAATAAAAAAGATCTTTTGCATAAACGTTTCATGCCTTTGTCTTCTTCAACTTCTAAACGTGAATCAAAGATTTCAATGAAAATCTAATATATACTAAACGTATTGTAATCAAGTATAGATATAATTAATGGATAACAATTTCTTTATTTACTAGTACTGAAAAGGCGACGTTTCAGTATAGATCCTTATACCATTGTCTTGCTTGACAGAAATTATCTCTACTTTGTCATCTATTAACTTTTAGTAATGCGGGGCGGTCGGTAAGCCTAGTGGTTAAAGCGTTCGCTCATCACGCTTGAAGACCCGGGTTCGAATCCCGACATGGGTACAATGTGTGAACCCCATTTCTGGTGTCCCGTGATATTGCTGGAAAAGCGACTAAAAACCATACTCACTCACTCTAAGTAATGCCTAGCAAATAAATCGTATTGTGACCAATAATTTGACACACTGGGCAAAATAACTTGAGATGTCAATATTCGAAAGTGTTACACAACAATACTCTTTGATAGATCTAGTGAAGTCTGTGCGACTGAAACCATGGACATAAATAATATTGTTATTTAGCCCCGTAATGAAACTTAGCATAGCGACAATATGTAAAACTGTTATATAACCACTTAGTGTACACCCTCGTTGTAATAAACATAATGGACGCGCGTACTCAAAAGGGACTATTTAGTTTCACGTGTGAAGAAATTGAGCGCTGGGTTTACATCAGACTTTTCTTCATTAGGCAGCCTTTGTGATTAGTTCACATTAGTGACGTTCCCGGCCAGTGATCACGACTTGACATTGACCGTGTCATTGTTTTGACAGCTGACACTGTGACAGGTGATCAACTCGCGGTAAGCATTGACTAAAATCATAACCAATCGCACCAATTTCAAATCATTATCTAGATCTACCTGCAAACTTTCTCCACAGCCTCGAAGACACCAGCTAGCGTACCCGACTGTCTGATCCACAACGAGATGGGAGTATTGACCTAGATCAATCCAAACGTCACATTTTCCTACACGTGTTGTTTAGTTACCATTCACTATCGCCGATAATCACGTGACTTCCATTTATAGAACCAAGCGTCGACGCAAACCACGTGATCGGATATTTGCACACGCAGTGGAGTTCGCGAGGCCCGATCTAGGATCAATTTGTTATATAGGCGGTGGTGGGTGGTTGGTTGTTTAACGCCGCACTCAGCATTATTCCAGCTATATGACGGCGGTCTGTAAATAATCGAGTCTGGACCAGACAATCCAGTGATTAATATCATGAGCATCAATCCACGCAATTGGGATTGATGACATGCATCAACCAAGTCAGCGAGCCTTACAACCCGATCCCGTTAGTCGCCTTTTACGACAAGCACAGTCACCTTTTACGGCAAGCATGGGTTGCTGAAGACCTATTCTACCCCGGAATCTTCACGGGTCTGTTATATAGGCAGTCCTGTCTAACAGATTCCTATAATCAGATATAAAGTGGGAACATTGACACGGCAATAAATGTCACAATAAATATATTAAGTTATTTCTAGAAAATAAGATATAGAGACTGAAAGGACACCACGTCAAAACGGCACCAGAATTCATTTGGAAAACGGCATCACATATATGGTGAATAAAAAAAATAGATTATTTGTTATAATTCAGTCTGGAAATTACAATACCACACACACCTCTACCTTGACGTTAAAGAGAGCGCGATTTTGATAAGAACACACAGTGCCATTAAAAAGCGGTCAAATGCAATACTTTTTTTATATTTGGGATAACACTTTCTTAATAAAGAACAGATTCTAGTACTTTTGGGGGGTGGGGGAGGTGAGTCCCATCCGGGATTCGAACACACACTGTCAGTGTGAGGCACCTAATCGCTAGCACACAAAGTCAGCAGTCTAACCCACTCAGCCACCGAGGCTTCCACAAAAGTGAAAGTCCAACGACTGTTAGTCCAGATCACGTACTGTGTGTACCCCTCTGACAAGTGTTGATTGGTATGGCTCCCATGGCCGAAAGCTATGAAAAGACAATGACATTTAGAAAGTGGTGAATTGTAACACATGTTATATTTGGGATAACACTAGTAATTCTAGTACTTTTGGGTATTGAGTCCCATCGGTATTCGAACCCACACTGCCAGAGTGAGGCATCTAATCGCCAGCGCACAAACTCAAAGTCGAACACACTCAGCCACCGAGGCTTCCACAAATGATTCTGATTCAAATCATTCTGAAACCGTGCGTATGAATACATCGATAGTTTATGGCACACCGATCCATAAAAATGGCTTCTGATAAACCACAAGGACTGCATACGTTCGATATCGGAACATTATTTGATGTTTTTGGCGAGGCTTTTGGCTTTAGGCCTTACCCCCTGACTGGTGTGATGCAGTCTCATTAAAATCAGACCTTAGTACTCGCTACCGCTAAACAAAGATCTGAAGACATCCCATTAGGGGTAATGTCAGAACGACCTTTCATCCGACCAATCAGAGCGTCGCTCACCAGATTATGAAAGTGACAGTCGGAATGTGATTTCTAACATGCAACCTCGAAATCTTTAACACGGGGTACTCCGAACGATAGTTACGGGTTTAACGACTTAACGATCAAAAGAACAATCTGGCATGGCTAATGGATGGTCTCTCATACAATCGAGACCATCCATTAGCCATGCCAGATTGTTCTTTTGATCAGTTTTCAAACTTGTAATTGAGAATTTGTCAAAATATGTTTCGAAGCGTAGTCGCTATTTTGAAATTTGTGCCGTAAAGCACGAGAAAGCTGTCTTCTGATTGGTCATTCCATTGGTCGGTCAAAGTTCGCGCAAGGTCGGTCTGACGTGACCCGTAATTGGATGTCCTCAGATCTTTGTTTAGCGGTAGCGAGAACTAAGATCTGGTTTTAATGAGATTGAGTGTGATGATGACAAATGCATGTCGTTTGCATACAAATGGTAACGTTATTTAAACTATTAAACACAGTAGGTTTATCTCCAAAATGATTAATACTGTGCGTGTTTCTTAATTAAACAGTTGCATCTCCAACAGCTAAATATTAAAAGGGCGTATTTGTGAACTATTAAGGTCCAAGGATTTTTATCAACCCGCTTATTTTTAACCATATGGATTTTAAATAGGAAATCGGCCCCTCCCATAACCCACTCTCCCATCAGCCATAGTAGACGTATTATTAGTAGATTTACTCATAGTGGGAAAAAAAATCTATTAAAACATCTATGCGCTTCATATTTACCTGCCCTAATTATGTTTTTAGGTTTGTCAGCACCATACCCGTGCTCGTGGGTTTCACCGAAGTGGTAAACGTCTGAGACCTGCATCACTTCGGGCTTTCCTCCCACATTAAGCTGACACGTCGTGATATAACTGGAATAGTATTAAAAGCGGCGTTAAACCCAACTCACTCACTCACTCATATTTACCTGAGTTAAAAAATAGGGGGGCAGGGGATTCAAAGCCTTTAATCGTAAGGGTCCCAGGTTAAAACATGGAGGTCCCATAGCAATATCAAAAACTGAATATAGTACTCGAGAACAAGTGACGTAAAAATAGACCATGGGGTTCTTCAACTGAAACGAATCAGAGCTGAAAGATCGTATTTGTTTGTTTGTTTGTTTGTTTAACGCCGCACTCAGCAATAGTCCACTGATATGACGGCGATCCAGTTATTGACATCATGAGCATCGATCCACACAATTGGGATACAATGACATGCATCAACCAAGTCAGCGAGCCTGACCACCCGATCCCGTTAGTCGCCTTTTACGGCAAGCATTGGTTAGAAGATCGTGAATTATATTGACTGTGTAAGTATATTTTTACAATGATTGCGTACAAAAAATAATTATAAGTGGTAACAAATTATGAAATAACAGTATTCATTCCTAAAGATGTATACACATTTTCTGCAGCCCACTCTGATGCACTCTGTATATTTGTTATATTTGTGTATTGTCCGTTTTCAATTTGTATACGTACGTATAATAAAAGCGTATGAATAATGCATATAGGATTTTGCGTCCGATAGTCCCGATAATATAAAAGCGCTTGGATGTGCATTATATCTTAGTATGTAAATTAAGTATATAATACTTGATTGATAACTATTCTTAATACCACAGGAATTACTAACTATACATTATACTTGAGGGATTACTATACATAACAGGGGGCACGGTTGACCCAGTCGTTTAAGTCGCCGCAATTCGCTGTGCAGAATTGCGTCCCGTAGACGCACCAGAAACCTATGATTGTAGGTTCGAATCCCAGCTTGCCTTATGTTTCTCGGTCTGTCAGCACCATACCTGTGCTCGTGGGTTTCACCAAAGTGGTAAACGTCTGAGACCTGCACCACTTCGCGCTTATTGTACATGCACACTGAGGGATTACGCATATTTCCTGGCATAGTGATGATAGGGACATAATTCGCAATAACAAATGAATGTCTCTAGGACGCAGAAAGGTATCACATTGGAGTAATAGATCTTACTAGATGATACTGAGACAGGCTGATAACACAATTATAACATAGGCTGTTCATCGTCTCGTGACTGTAATTATACAACCCCGACAGGGCCTCAACTGCATACCGACAACTCCGTTCTCCGAGGGATCAATATGGAGGACGACGTGTCCTAATTAATGACAACCTTGACATTTAGCTTGACATTTGTAACAAGTTATCAGATAGTGAGTGACTGAGTTGGGTTAAACGCCGCTTTTAACAGTATTCCAGTTATATCACGGCGTGTCAGCTTAATGTGGGAGGAAAGCCCGAAGTGATCAGGGCCCACTTGCACAAAACGATCTTAGCGCTAAGACTATTGTAAGCCTATGCTAAAGTATGGGAGTAACGATCATCTTAGCGCTAAGATCGCTTTGTGCAAGTGGGCCCTGGTCTCAGACGTTACCCACGTTGGTCAAACCCACTAGCAAGGGTATGGTGCTGACAAACCTTGAAGTATAATCGGGGCGAACCGGGATTCGAACCCACAATCATAGGTTTCTGGCGTTCCCAAGGGACGCAACTCTGCGCAGCGAATCGCGGCGCCTTAGACGGCTGGGCCACTCGTGCCCCCAGTTACCAGATTATAGTAATTATGGCATAAAGTGTTTCATAGTTTACTGATGTATTTGTGACCCTCATCAATGCGACCTGCACATACATATTGACACCAGCCTGTATAGTTCGTTCTCAACAAGCAATATGACACCTTATATTATACAACATCTATTTACACAGCATCGTATTATACAAGGATGAGATTTGAACTACCGCAACGTTATCATAATGTGCGCAGGTGTATGAGTCTGGAGCTTGATAAGTTTGTTTGTTTGTTGTTTAACGCCGCACTCAACAATATCCCAGCTATATGACGGCGGTCTGTAAATAATCGAGGCTTGACCAGACAATCCAGCGATTGACAACATGAGCATCCATCCACGCAATTTGGATACGATGACGTGCATCAACTGAGTCAGCGAGCCTGACAACCCGATCCCGTAAGTCGCCTCTTACGACAAGCATGATCGCCTTTTACGACAAGCATGGGTTGCTGAAGACCTATTCTAACCCGGATCTTCACGGGTCTAGTCGCCTTTTACGGCAAGCATGGGTTGCTGAAGACTTATATTCTAACCCGGATCTTCACGGTAAGTTTGATAAGTAATGTACATACAGTTGTTTGGGTTTTTATGGATTACATTAAGGTGTATGAGGTCAATGGGGTGTGAGTTACCCCCCTCTCATACCTACCCCTGTGTATAGGTGAAATTAGTTTGAAGTTGATAAGTAATAAGTACTTTGTGTTTGTGGTTTATAGATGACATTTTACCTGCGGGGTTTCCGGGTCAGAATATACAGCGCTATCGTGTAAAGCTAGAATATTGCTGACTGCGAAGTTAAACAAACAACCCAAAAATAGATTACATATAGAGTTGCACGAGGTCCATAGAGCACGTGTAAAGCTGGAATAATGCTGACTGCGAAGTTAAACAAACAACCCAAAAATAGATCAT